GGTAAATATGTAGGTGTTAATTATATGTTGTAGTTATGGCTAAATGTAATTAAACCTTAGCAATAACGTATATATGAATAAATTAACACTTTATGAAATAATGAATTGCAGTCTCTTGGAGATCAGAACCAGAAAGGCTAAATCAATCTTTATTTTACGTGCTAATATCAAGTCGGCATCAGTGCACATTACAGCGGAACGGGAACGACACAGGGGGCATGGAGCATCAGGAATGAAGATGGAGACTCGTCACAACCTCAGCGGCTAAGACCGACTGAGCAAAGTTTATTACAACCGCACGCAAAATAAAGAGTGCAACCGCTCGCAGTGAATAGCACAATGAAAAATAAATAAAACAGGGAATAAACTTTATTTTTATTTTAAAATCAATATTTTATGGGAAGGCACTTCCCCAAGTTGGTCTGGCTTTGTGACGTTTTACTATGAATTGTAATGTTACCTTTCTAGTTCTGGTTCAGATAATACCACTTTTGTCTTTCATAATTATTGATGGAGTGTAAATGTGTATACAGACGTAGATGAAGATAATGTGTTGTAGTGTTACTCATTGTTTCATTCTCCTTTTCTCAAATCGCAGTATATAAAATATTGTGCAATCATTGCAATGTCGTGAGACATTACTCCAATAGCAGAATGCATTGCACTACAGTACCTCGTGTCAGAAATCAGCCCCAAAAAGCCTTTAGAACTGACCCCGATAAGCCAATTTATCCACACCAGGAGCACGCATATTTACATGCCCTGCAAAGCATGTGTTGCATGTCAATAAATTAAGTTTTAATGAAAATTACATTTTTTTAAATTGTCAAGAGTCCAAACAAGCTGAATTAAGTGAAACAACACATTTAATATGTATTTTTATTGAAAGCAGTGATGACTGGGCTGGGACCATCAGCCTGCTTTATATGACACCCTGGGTATATTTTTTTTTATTTAAAGCTTTCGTGACTGCAGTAATTCATATACTTAGCTCTTTCGGTAAAGTCACGTTGAAGGGTAACAATAAAATAATAAAATATATAAAACAATAAAAATTCTCACGACGTTTCGACCATAACGCAAACGGTCATCATCAGGTGTGAAAACCAACGGCAAGAAACATTTGAAAGAAGTGGCGGCTTGCATTTATTTATTTTTAAACGGTGTTTGTATTTTTTTTTAAACCATTAGCACCACTGGCAGCGATTTGGCAATTTGTTTAGAAGGACGAGTCCATCTATGTTCTGAAAAGAGGAGGGGGGAGACGAAAAATTAATGTATGCTGTCTGAAAGCCACCGTAAGCGTGAACAATCAATTAAGACCTGAAATGGTTTATCAAATCCTTACAATGATTGCTAAGCCAGAATCCATCTTCTCGGTTGAAATTGTCTCTGTGCTTGTATATGTGGATAGCCTCATGAACGAATCTCTCATGGTAGCCAGATGGCTTACAAATAACCTCTGTCTTGGAGAAGTCAATGTCATGTGAGCCTACTGAATTATAACAATGATCTGCCACGGCCGAGGTGTTGGTCCTACCGTGTTTAAGGTCTGCTTTGTGTTCACGAATGCGGTCCGAGACATGGCGTTTGGTTTCTCCAATGTAACTACTACCACAGAGGCAACTTAGTTTGTAGACACCAGGGTACTGTATGTCCGGAATCACATCTTTTACAGACGGAACCAGATCACGGATTTTATGTAATGTGTTGAAACGGACCTGGATCTTGTGTTTATTCAAGATTTTGGAGATCTTTTTTGTGATCCCCGCAATGTAGGGTAAAGTGATGGTTTTGAAAGGCTCCTCAAGAGGGTCCTTCTTCATGGTTTGAGTGATAGCTTTGCAGATTGTATAGTCGGAGTAACCATTAGCCTTAAGAGCTTGGTGTACGTGCTTGAGTTCACTGCCTATGTGTTCCTGGTCGGATATGCATTGGGCTCTATGGTACAGAGTCTTGATGAGAGAATTCTTCTGTGATGGATGGTGGTGGGAATCCGGTTTCAGATAAGCATCCGTATGGGTAGCTTTCCTGTAGACAGAGTGGCTCATTGAACCATCAGGTCTCTTTTTTATTAGGACATCCAAAAAAGGTAGCTTGCCATCTTTTTCGACTTCCATGGTAAATCTGATGGCTGGGTGTATGGAATTGATGTGGTCGAAGAATTGGTCTAGAGCAGGCCGGCCATGTGGCCAGATGACAAAAGTGTCATCCACGTACCTCGTCCATAAGGTTGGGTGCAGAGTGGCAGTCTGGATGGCGTCAGTCTCAAATTTCTCCATGAAAATATTGGCTACAACCGGAGATAGGGGGGAGCCCATTGAGGTGCCCTCAGTTTGTTTGTAGAAAGTCCCATTCCAAGTGAAGTATGTATTGGTTAAGCAGTGTCTCACCAGGGGGGGGTACCTCAGTGTTTAGTCTTTGATGAACCAAGTCTTCAATGATTGCGATGGTGTCAAGTACAGCAACTTTGGTGAATAAGGAAACTACATCAAAACTGACAAGCAGGTCGTCTGGGGACAGGGAAATACCCTTGATTGTCGATACCAGGTAAGTAGAATTTTGTACCGCAGAGGTGGTTTTTCCAGTGAAAGGACGCAGGATTTCAGACAAAAAACGAGCCAGTTTGTGGGTGGGGGAGTTGATAGTAGAGACGATGGGATGAAGGGGTGTATCTACTTTATGTATTTTTGGTAAGCCGTATAATCTTGGTGGCCTGGCAGCAGAAGGTTTCAACGAAAACTGTTTAGATTGATCAATTAATGCGGTTGAATCAGAAATTATTTTGTTGGTTTGTGTGACGAGGCTGTTGGTGGGATCTCTTTTTATTTTTGTATAACTATTTTTTTGTATAATCACTTGGCAGTTGCCTGGGTTCTAACCCAGGAACTGAGTACTTTAGCTTGGCATTCGGCCCCCCAGCCACTTGGCCACCTCTCGCATTATAATGTGTAGCTCGTGTCATTATAATGACTGACATTTCAGTACAGAATACTGCACATTTATCATTTGTACACATTGCTCTTATGTATGTATGTATGTTGAACTTATTTCGCACCGTACGTAGCCAACCGTGCTTATCGGAGTTGCAGGTGATGGACTGCGTCTTCACAAGCTGAGTATTAACTTGTAAAAATATCCACCTGTAATGAGTTTCTACCTATTATTATTATTAATGGAACCAACATATGTATTGCTTGACAAAACAAGCGGATGCCAGCCTGTTGTATCACAACACATTCCAGTTATAAAGGTTTTACTGTTTATACTTTACAAACAAAATGTTACTGCATCTCATAAACGTTGCGTGGAGGCGCTTTAATTAACTCATAAAATTTGTCCCATGTTTGCAGACGTGTCAAAAAACCTTTGTTTCCTTTGGTAATGGGGTAACGGGAATATTGTGCAGAATTTTTTTTTATTAGTATTGTAAGTATATGTGTATGGGGAGCGGTGGTTAGTGTGCTTAGCTACAAACCAAGTGATTCAGGTTCAGTGTCCCAGTCACAGCTAAAATCAGTGGCGATCGATATTGGAACTGTTACTGGGCCTCCCTTAGGTTAACTAGGCCTCAAATGAATACCTGATGTGGTATTAAACACTGGGGAAACATGTGGCTGGTTGTGATATTGGCCCCACCACCCCCGTGTGTATTGTGCTGGCCTTCATCGCTGCTCACTAAGAACACTTGCTCGTACAACCCATTTCAGATATATAGGGAGTACAGCATAGTACAGACTGGGGTGGCACTGTGCTAATACAGTCGTCAGCCCTAGACCATTGGGGAGAGCTGGAGTGAGGGGTGCTACATTTTAATCGTCAATTAAGCGATGGGCATCACAACCTATTTCCATAGGGTGTGAGAGTTTGAGCAGAATCGAGAGTAGGACAAAAGCAGATCATATAGTTTCTCATTATGTGCAGCATTTCACATGTCTTTTAAGTTTGTTAAATATTAACTGCGTTGTGCTTCCCATTTAAACAAGCTCACGCCACTGGTCTGCTTATGCTACTCAGTTCGAAGATTGCGAGTTGACATTCTTGTTGGTGGTTGACTGAGCATATCATCAAGTCGAGTGTAGTAATCCTATAGAGGGACTGGCTCCCGCCATGGAAACATGTAAATGTCACCACTCATAGTTCAAGGACACCAGTGGATATGAATAATCATATTCCTAATTTGAGCCGAGGAAATGCATTGATTTGATTTTACTCAACATGTGATGAGGTGAGAACATTTTCTTCTGGCACTCCTAATAGTCATGATGTCAGGGTAGAGCCCAAGACTTTGACACCAGTGAACTCTTTCTGGGGTTACCGTACTGCCATGGTGGCCGGTAAAAATGGCACAAGTGAAAACTAGGAAAGAGTAGCATGAAAATAATCATCGACGGTTTGGGTTAATCATCTCTTTTATTCAGATGTGTATATAACTGTTAGTACAGTGCATCTAGCTGTTAGCACGGTACTTATAACTGTTAATATAGGCCCGTTTCATTGTGGTATTTTTTCCTAGTTTTTCACTTGTGTCATTTTTACGGTGCATTTTTTTCCTGTACCATTTTTTCCCGTGCCATTTTTCCTCTGCCATTTTTCCCGTACAATTTTTACCGTGCCATTTTTTACCGTGCCATTTTTGCCTGTACTATTTTCACTTGTGCCATTTTTCCCATACCATTTTTCCCGTTCCATTTTTACAGTGCCATTTTTCCCGAACCATTTTTACCATGCTATTTTTTTACCCGTACCATTTTCACCTGTGCCATTTTTTCCTGTGCCATTTTCACCTAAAATCATACTTCCATCGGTCGTCCTGAACCAGCACTGAATGGGCTCATTCATATTTTCTAAGATGTGGTGTGCTGAATATTCATTTGGAATTATACTGCAGTATGTACCTCATACATTAAATAATATGAACACTGAAGTTCTGCGATGGGATTTTTTGTTTGTCTAGTCGTCGGTGAAGTAGTTGAGACCAACTTGCTACACTTGTGAACCTTGTCTAATGGTGAGTAACTCCCAGATTTGAACCCAGAAACTGCTTAGTGTGCTTTCATAGGCACAGTATTAGTCTCTTGAGGCACCTAGTCGCCTTTGAATCCTCTATAAATCATGAAACAACCTCACAAAGTTACAGGGCAGCAACTGGAGTCACATTAACGATGATGTGCAAAATGGCTCAGCGGCCAGTATAATGCCCAGTATGCCATACCCAGTTGCTACATATTTTCATTACAATCATGAGCAAACATAGGCGTGTTTATCCTCGTGAATTTCTTTGTTCTTTAAATACTTTTAGTATTTTTTCATTTACGCCATGGATCCATTAAGTTGCAGGCATGTGGCCAAGCATGCCTGTGCTTGCCCAGACACACTCACACGCACAACATGCACCACCACCAGCAAAGGTTAAGAGAGCATTTGCCAGAGAGATGATCTTCGCATTTTATTTAAACTAAACCACATTTACTTTCCTTGAGTGGGAGTAGGGTGACTGTGCACGGGGCATTCAAGGCTCCCTTATTACCCACGGCATCTGATTTCTTGTCTCACACTCTGCTGGGAACTTGAAGCCGCACACCAGTTCACAGGAGTCTACTAAATTCATTGGTGGTTTATTTTGTGTCAGGGTTGTTACAAAGAGTAGGTGTGGTTAATGTGCCATTAATTGCACGTTGATATGTGCACGTTCTGTACATGATGCCACCCGATTATCACGGTTGACTACGTACGGTGCAGAAGAAGTTCAACATACTTAAAACAAGGCCTAAAGACGAATTTTAGCAAGGTTAGCAGTGAGGCACTACTGTTAGAGAAATATCAAAGTGCAATGAATTGATGCAAGTGGATTCGTTGTCAAGTCTCATTAAAATACTGCGTAAACTGGGGCTTATCACAAGAGTTCAGCTCAGGTAAGTAGGAATGTACATTATCATGCGCAACAACCCCAACAAAGTCATCACCTTGGCTTTAATTCTGCCTTACGGTATAATAGTAAAATATGTATTGTACACTAGTAATGTTTTTGCTATGGATCGTCTTCAGAGCAGCATTTCTGTGTATGCACCACTGACAACATGCATGCTATATCAAAAATAAAGATGTATGTGCTATGAAGAAGGGCTGTTGCCAAAAAATTGCCTATTATCTTTTTTTCTTTTATGGCCACGGCGTTGTAGACCAATGTGATAAAACATTTTTTTTATTAATTGTGCTTTTGCAAAACTGCCAATGCAGCAGCATCTGGAAAAATTGTTTTACGCAGCTTTTAGTTCCTTATTTACATTCGAACTTCCATAAGTTGCAACAAGTAGTTGGACATGCCATCTTGGGAAGTTTATCCTCATAATTTCTTATTGTTTACTACAGTTTTCCTCTTTTACGAGTGTATGCTGGTGTTCATGCTGCATCCTAAATACTGTATATCTTGGTTTGGCTTTTGCAGCTCTGTGATAAAGCACACCTCTTATGAAGAATATAGTCGTTTGGGAAGTAATTCAGTGCAAGATCATGCGTCCTTAACTATTATTTTGTTTCCCCCTGTTTTTAAACTACATTAGAACTCCAATCATCCAAGCTCCAATAATCTGAGAGTCCCATGGTTTGTGGCAACTCCTATAATCCGCGGGAGCGAAGATCCTAAAGTCCGTGCTTTTGCTGGGGATTTATTTATCTCTACCTGGACAGGCTAATTCCTCACGTTATATTTTTAATGAGTGGCAAGCTTCAAAGATGTGGCCACGCTTTAAAAAAACCCATTCCCTCCAAAGGAACCTCGTAACCAAGTGAGAAAGACGTGTTTAAATCGCTCCAAACACATATGTGTGTTGTTAGAGAGGTGAGAGAGATGGTGGTATAGGATGCCACTTTTAAATCTAGATTAAAAATGCATTTCTTTAGAAGTCGTTTTTGTGTTTAGTTTGTTGTCCTTCCCCTGATACCTCAGATTAGCACGGTGGGCTATGTACGGTGCAAAATAAGTTAAACATACATACATAGAGAGACAGAGCTGCAGCAAGTCAAGCGGCGATACAGAGAGACATGGAGACAGAGACGTACAGAGCTGCAGAGAGACAGAGAGACAAGTGGAGATAGAGTGAGACAAACGGAGCTACAATTAGATAAACGGAGCTGCAGAGATATAAACAGACAACTGGAGATGCGAGACAAATGGAGCTACAGAGACAAACGTAGATTATCCTGAATCGTGACAAATCATTTGAATGTCATTGTAATTCATTTACATGCTTTCTTGCAACATTATGATGGCGGAATACCCATCCCAACCACAGTGCCACTCAGGTACTGTGCACATATTCTTTCTTTGTTCTTTAACATATCCACGTGTCCAAAACAATTTAGCCAGAGGTATAGTATATGTGTAATGATAGTAGAGTCAACCTATAGTGTGAGTGGACTAGTGGCCACGGGAGGTAATTACAGGGTAGTCAGCGTGCAGTGCGAATGGACTAGTGGCCATGGGAGGTAATGACAGGGGAGTCAGTCTGCAGTGTGAATGGATTGGGGATTACGGGAATGATCGAAAAAAGGAGCTTGGCCAGGTAACGGAAGAGGACGGTAGAGTCTGCTGGTAGAGCGAGCGTCTAGAACCAGCGAGAAGGTTCGGGAATGGGGGCGTGCCCTCTGACCTTATATAAGGGAGATGCGTGGGAGACTTGGGGCTGTTGCAGTGGGGTCTCCGCCTGTTCGAGTGTAAGCATGTGGCTCCTTAATAAAGGAACCATCCCAAGACAAGTGCGTCCAAGTCGTCATTACATATGCATTGCAATCTTTGCAAAAACAGTGGGAACAGTGTTGATAAAAAGCTGCATACGCAATCCTAAGTCTCTTGCAGGTCAATTGGCACGTGGCGCGAGAAATTGAGTTGGTTGGAGGTGGACCTTCTTCTTCCGTATGGCTGATGTAGATGCACAGCAACAACTACAATTTCACATTCAGGTGGTCAAGCCAGATAGCCGCGTCAGGAGTAGTGGAGTGTATCACCGTCATTTCTCCTTCGTATTTGTGGATCGGGCATTGCGTCGTTATATGCTGTACGGTCTGTTCTGGATGACCACAGTCCCACACTGGAGAGCTTTTAAGTTTCCATTTGTGCATCAGGTATATGCATCTGCCATGGTTTGTGCAGTGGATGTGTTTTAGGGTGGACCATGAGTTTAGGGTGGACCATGACCTGCTAATGTGCTTGTGCCCTTTGTTCACACAGCAGCCGGCACAGTCGCCATGACAAAGTGGGCACCGCAGGCGTTACCCTGTGAGAGAGATTAGCGGAGCATGAATTTACGAATCAAGAGCCAGGGAACATAATGCCAGGGATTAATCGAGGGCGTCCGCAGGTAAACAGAGTTGCTGGTCACTTGTGTAAGCTAAGCTGCACACTTGGCTATGAGTGGCTTTGTTCACCAATTAATTTATTATCCATTTAACTATACAGTGGGTAATTCTGTTTTAATGACAAGAAATCACTTCAGAAAAATAGCGCTGGCCCAAAAACTATGAGTTTCAACAAACGAAACTGTGTACAAATGGCACTCGGCATTTGCGCATTATAAAACACAAATCATCAACAGTCCCAGAAGAACTGCATTGTAGTCGTCTATAGTTATAGTTGCCACCATTTATTTGCATGGCCTTGGGACCAGGTTGACAACATAAACGAAAATGCTTTGCATCTTCCACATCACAAGCAATAATCTTATTCAAAGCTGGATTATGGACCGGGCCAGTGGAGCCAGTGCCCCGGGGCCTCGGACTGGCAGGGGGCCTCCAAGCCTTTGGTCGCGTGCGGTATCTGGCCCAAGAGCTCACCACTCGGGCCCCCGGACCCCGCAGCGCTGACAATGTGAGGCCCCTTGAAGGCCACTTGTGTTGTGGCCGAAACGTCGTGATTTTTGTTGTTTTATTTTTTACCTACGTGACTTTATCGAATAGAACCAAAGAGTATGAATGTGAGGCCCCTCGGTGCTTAAAGCATGAGCTGACCACTAGGGCCCCCGGGACCCTGGATGCTTACAGTGAGTTGACCACTAGGGCCCCCAGGCCCCTCGGTGCACACATTGAGCGTAACTCCTGGGGCCTCTTGGTACATACAGTGCATGCTAAAAACGAGAGCCTCTCGGAGAGTACAGTGCTTCTGTACAACTAAGCCACTGGCTGGCACGCTACAATATGCTGTGACATGATACAATAATCACCAACAAAAAGTCTGTTCATTCTGCATATCAGGACAGTTTGACTTACCGTAACTAGCTTTATTTTAGCTAGCTGCCCGTTTTCCCTAGCTAGCTGCCCATATGATTCAGCTTGTTAACAGAAATTAGTTAGCTAGCTGCCATTTTTACCAGCTAGCTGCCCTTACAACCAAATTATCTGCACTAAAAAGCCAATTTGTGAGACCGAGGGCACATCGTTTGTTGAGAGCTTAGTTAACCATTGACACATAAATGATGAAAAATACACCGCGGTTTTGTGAAACAAAAAAAATATGCCAAAAGCTATATTTTTTCATACACTAACGCATATATGAGTCCCAGTCCATACTTAAAAATTAAGGAAAACCCCATTATTTTTGTCCATAGACCGTCTGTTTGTAGATCCACGGAAGTAGATAATGCTAACGTTGACATGCAGATTGTCCACAGCTCTTACGAGGTCTTTTTTTCCCCTCCCCATCGATGGGGTGTGGCCTATGTACATAGTCTCCACCAAGTAATTTCACTGACTTATCAGAAAAACCTTTGTTGGTTGTTCAGCAACATAATTATCTCTGTGTCAGGCAGGTATATAAAACATTTCTTGGTAGGAAAAGCCACAGACAGATGCCTGTTTTCTTGCTTGGTATGCCACAGTCATATATTCGGACACTTATTTAATCTTCTAAAACAACAGCTTTTTTAAAGGCTATTTCAACAATCCCTCCTAAGGGCTATTTTCTAACAGCCTTTTTATTTTCTGATGTGCTTTTGATGTGCTTTTCAATTTTTTTATCTACTCAAAGCTGCCTTTAGGTACAAGTAGACTATAAAATACTACCACTTGATTGGATTGTCATTATTAATATATATTAATTCAGGTATTATTTAATAAGTATTTAGATATGCTATAAATATATTCATATACATAGCATACTAGTTCTTAAGTATGGACCACAAACGTTGGAATAGTGGTGCTTCCAAAAGGAAAGCCAAAAAATAAAAGGAGGCAATAGAGGCAGTTTTGTTTCAAAGCGTTCCACTTATTGCCAACTTCTTTCAAAAACCCTCTGATAGTAATAATGATGACAGCAGCACTATTGTCAGCTATGAGGAAGGAACTAGCACAAGTTCAGTTTCCAGTAATGTTGTCACTCCCCCAGAGCCATCCCTTCAAGGCGAACCCTCAACAGCTAATGGTTTACAAGAACCATAATTTCCACCTCAGGAGCAGTTGGGCAGTTCACAAGAATCAAATCAGCAACCAAGCCATTCCTGGTGCTATGAGGTCACTGACCCTGCATTATGGCAAAGCACTTCCAGTGACATTGTTAATTCAGTGCTTATTGAAAGAGGAGCAGTCCCCTTCCAAAACCACAGTGAAAATGCCTAGCTTCAGTCCGAGATAGAGCGCTTGATGGAAAGACTAGAAGTTTCAACAATGAACTTCTGAACTGTATATTGCCAAATGGGCAGAAGGTTTCTAGATAGAGGCTACTGTACTCACCCTCAACAGGTTGTGTGTACTATTTTGCATGCAAACTGTTCCCCAGCAAGCTAGGTGTCTTTAGTCAGGGGTTTAGTGACTAGAAGCACTCTGAAAGAATAGGGGAACATGAAAAGAGTGCAGAACACAGATCATGCATGCTTGCCTTGCACCAGCGGACAACGGGCAGTGCTATAGATGCAGATCTCATGTAGCAACTTGATGGGGAACGTAAATACTGGAGGGACATTTTGAAAAGAGTTGTAGCAGTGATCAAGTTCTTGGGTGAAAGAGGACTTGCGTTTAGGGGAGATGATGAACGGTTTGGGTCAACCCATAATGGTACTTTCCTTGGCATCTTAGAGTTGCTATCACAATTTTACCCATTCTTTGCTGAACATATTAAAAAGTATGGCGGAAAAGGAAGAGGCACAGTGTCCTATTTGTCATCGACAATATATGAAGAATTCATTGAGCTAATGGGTCAGAAAACTCGCCAAACAATAGCCGATGAGATTCGGGATGTCAAATATTTTTCAATAATTGTCGACTCCACCCCAGACCTGTCACATGTGGACCAATTGACGTTCATATTCTGGTTTGTTAACAGTAGCGGGAATGTGGTGGAGTGATTCCTTGGCTTTGAGCTAATTGAGAGCCACACTAGTAAAACTATATTAGACTGTGTGACTTTGATGGTGGAGGGCCTTGGGTTGGACCTCTCAAACTGTAGAGGTTAGTCATATGACAATGCAAGCAACATGTCAGGAAAATACAATTGGCTACAGGCCCACCTGAAACAAACCAAAAACCTCTGATAGAGTATGTGCCTTGCGCAGCGCATTCACTTAACTTAGTTGGTGTTAACACCTTAGACCACAGTAGCCCAGAGGCTGATGAGTTTTTTAACATGTTGCAGTCACTGTACACATTTTGCTCTTCATCCACACACAGATGGGGGAAAGTCTTTCGGAAGACCGATGTCAGACTGACATTAAAGTCGTTGTCCAGTACTCAGTGGAGTGCTCGGGCAGAGTCAACCAAGGCACTGTGGAGAAATTACACCCACAGAGAGGCCTTCGGTGGTGTGTGCAATGATGATAATGAAAAAAGAGATACTCGAATTGAGGCCGCTGGACTATGTGCTAATTTGGACGCCTTAGAGATGGTGTTCATGGCACGTTTCTGGGACGTCATCCTTGACCGGTTCCATGCTACAAGCATGCACCTACAGAAAGTGACATTGACATCTCTGTAGCAGCACAGCTTTTGTCTTCGTTGAGGGATGTTGTGGCGGGACAGCGAGACCAGTTTGAGGCTTTTGAAAGAGCAGCCTTAAATGTGACAGGTGTCTCTCAGTCATATAAGCACGGTCTTAAGCGAAAGAGGAAACACAAAATATTTGCAGATGAGAGCTCAGAGCCAGGTGTGACACTTGAGGGTAGGGAGAAGTTCAAAATAGAAACATTTTATGTGGTCATTGATAAGCTAGTGGCATGCTTTGAACATTGCTTGGACGCTTGCAAGCATTTGACCAGTCTCTTTGGAGTTCTGTTTATGCTAGATCAGGTGTCTAACAGTGATGTTTTAGTGGAAAAGGTAAATGCACTTTCCGCTGTATATCCATCAGACCTTAACATGAACTTTACCAACGAACTCATCCAATTCAAGTCTTTCATGTCTGACTGAGGGTGAGAAGTGCCCAACTAAATTGCTTGAGACGTTGAAGGCACTTAATCTGCAGTCAGTGTTCCCCAATGTTTTCGTGGAACTTCGTATTTTTCCAACTTTGCCAGTGACAAACTGCCAGGGTGGAGCGGACATTTTTCCTTTTAGGCAGAATAAAAAAATAAGCTGCGGAGTTGCAAGTCATCTGGCTACCATGAGAAATTCGTTCATGAGGCTATCCACATACACAAGAACAGAGACAATTTCAACCGAGAAGATGGATTCTGGCTTAGCAATCATTGGAAGGATTTGATCAACCATTTCGGGTCTTAATTGATTGATCATGCTTAAGGTGGCTTTCAGACTTATTCGTCTCCCCCCTCCTCTTTTCCGAACATAGATGGACTCGCCCATCTGAACAAACTGTCAAATTTCTCTCCGTGGTGCTAACGTTAAAAAAACCGCCACTTTTTTCTAATTTTCTTGTTGTGGTTTTCACACCTGATGATGATTGCTTGTGTTGCAGTCAAAACGTCGTGAGAATTTTATTGTTTTATATTTTTATTATTTTATTGTTTCCCTTCTACGTGACTTTACCGAAAGAACCAAGAATATAGCACAAATTACTTTGCACTCATTAATACGTGAGGCCCATAGTCTAGCTAGGAGACATATCATAAAAAAACACATGTTCTGGTCATTGATCTTGTGGGTGGTGTATAAGTCACTGAAATATTTGTAACACACAAGAGCAAGCATTACTCATTCAAGAGCCATTAAAAGTCTCAATAGATAAGGCAGCAGCCAAGAGTACTTTCTAGTCCCTTCTGTTTGTCTTTACAAACAATGGCTGCTCACAATGGTTCCAGAATTTTGAGTGGAACATTTTAGGATACAATTTAAAACTATTAAAATAACCAGCTTCATCAATTCTGGCAAATCACCTGATAAAGCTGGTTGTAATCACCAGTGAAACGTCATACTCAAATTTTTAATGTTGTGGGTTTACTCTCCAACAAACCGGTATGCTGAAGTAGCAACTAACTGGCACGTTTTCGTGTACGTGACAAACCTTACTAATCGCCTGTGCGGGATGGCGGTGGGTTAACGACACATTTATATTTGCGCGATTTAACCCAAAATAAAACTTTATTATGGGTAATATTGGTCGGAGAAAGCCCACGCGTTAGACAACACAGTAAAACATATACGTGTGTGTTGTCACGTGCAGCTGCCATGGAGAAGTACGAGAACTTGGGCCTGGTTGGCGAAGGCAGCTACGGCATCGTGCTCAAGTGCCGCCACCGTGACACGGGCCAAATCGTAGCCATCAAGAAGTTCCTGGACAGCGAGGACCATAAGTCCGTGCGCAAGATCGCCGCACGAGAGATCAAGATGCTCAAGGTGAGATCCCATTGGCAAAAAAGAAAGGCGACGTGCAGAGATGCACGTTACCAATGATGGTCAGTGTGCAAAGGCTGGCGTCGTTTAAATCGTCGTTAGCACCCTGGGTGAATGAGTTTATTTATTAAAACTAAAGATTGTTTTATTTTACCGGGGAAGACCCGCTGAGCTATATAGTCCTTTTTCAGAAGTGAACTGGTGACAAATGGTAGCTCGATGAAGTGGCTCATCATGTGGAAATCGATAGCAGCCAAATACTCAAAACGCATGTTTCGAAATGTGGAGGTGAAACCCACGCGACCACGGGGAGGACAATCAAACTCCGAATATATAGCAGGCGTTAGGGTCGGGATCGAACCCACGCTCTCCTGTATACCAGTTAACATCTCGCCACCGCGACACCCCAGTGGTTGATCGGATGCCGTTTTAATTTGTTGTTTGATGTATTGTTTGGTTTGTTGTGTAATTTACTCGTGGTTAAGTGGTGGTTTTGCTGTTCGATCGGGTGACTGATCGGGCGCGCAGCAACTGCGCCACGAGAACCTGGTGAACCTGCTGGAGGTTTTCCGCCGCAAGCGCCGCCTCTACCTGGTCTTTGAGTTTGTGGACCACACGGTGCTGGACGAGTTGGAGCGCTACCCGCGCGGCCTGCCCACTGCCCGCGTGCGCCCGTGCCTGCTGCAGGTGCTGCGTGCGGTGGGCTTCTGCCACTCGCACAACGTGAGTACGTGTGTGTGTGTGTGTGTGCGCGTGCGAGCGTGTGCGCGTGTGTGTTGGTGCTCACGAACAGCACTTGCCCCAGTAGTCGGTTAAGGCTATGCAGGGGATATTTGTCTCTTTGTGTGGGGGAGTTGGTGGCGCAGCGGTTAATGCGCAACGCTACGAAACCAGCGACACGAGTTCAATTCTCGCTCGTGGCCAACACCAGTAACGATTTTCTTAACTGCTCCTGGGCACCCCCTAGATCGACTCCGCTTTAAATGAATACCTGGTGCGATGTGTAAATGTCGCCACTCAGGAGACAAAGAGCGTGGTGCTGGCCACCCACCCCCTCGTATGCCATGCTGGCCCTCATAGATACTCAGCAGTGCCTGCCCCAAACGTCTGTTAAGGCTTCATGGGGGATCTTAGTCTTTGTAGGGAGCCCAGGTGGTGCATCTGCCAGTCAGTCAACCCATTACACCTGGGTCTGTCCCGTAACATCCTGCCTGCGAGCCTTTGACGCTCCACGTGGTCTTAAAGTGCTCCTAGCCTGGCACAAGCACTGTGCTGACATCACGACCACTTCGGGAGGGGGGGGGATGGCAGCTGCTGCTGTGGGGAGCAGTTGTGTAATGGTTAGTAGCTTAGCGCGCCGCTGTGCTACGATTCCCACTCACGGCTAACATCAGTGGTGAATATATTAACCAGTCCTGGGCATCGCCTAGGTCGACTCAGCCTTAAATGAGTACCTGATGAGGTATTTCAACATCAGCACGAGGGAGAGGAAGGTGGCCACTGTGGTGCTGGCTACAGCGCCCTCTTGTGTGTCGTGCCAGCCTTGATAGGTGCTCCCCAACACCACTTTCTCTAACAGCCTGTGTAAGTTATACGGGGATCTTTGCCTTCGTTTCCATTTGTGTGCGCCTGTGTGGGATATTTGTGAAGCGTGGTGTCAGCGTCTGCGTGTGTCAAGGTTTGTGGCTGATGTTAATGCAGAAATAGGCAGCTCCCTTCCAGCAATAGCAACAATGTCGTGCACCGATACTTCAACACAGTCACCCAGGACTACTCACCCCATGGGACGCCAATGGAGACGAACACCTGCCTCATGCTCGTGCAAGCATGGAGACACTTGGGATATATTCACACCGTGATGAAATGGTTGAAATGCATACTTTTGACAATTTTCTCCATTATTGATTATAGAAACATTAGAAAACTTTGCCAAAAATTAACGATGATACCGGCACATAGTGGCTCACTCGTCATCAATTTATCAATTTCCTTCATGGTTTTTCCCCCTCTGTATCAGTGTTTATATGTATGTTGTCCCTAGCTGCCTGCACACATCTGTCTCTGCATCTCTGCCTGTATATCTGTCTATTTGCTCATTTTACTATTTGTATGTCTGCTTGTCTTCCTTTCTCTGTGTCTTTCTGTCTGTCTACCTCTTTGTCTGTTTGCCTACCTGTGTGTAAGATGCCTTTTTTCTTTGCCTTCCTCTTTATCTGCCTCTCTGTGTGTATGCTGTTTGCTGAACACTCATGCCATCGTCCTCCCTTGCCATCAGATCATCCACCGTGACATCAAGCCGGAGAACATCCTCATGTCGCGCTCAGGCATTGTCAAGCTGTGCGACTTTGGGTTTGCACGCGCGCTTGCGGGCTCGAGCGAGCCCTACACAGACTACGTGGCCACGCGCTGGTACCGCGCGCCGGAGCTGCTTGTCGGAGACACCAAGTACGGCCGGTGAGCATTACGACACCACCCACAGGACTCCCCTCGATAGCCCCACGATGCACTCGGACGTGTGTTTGTATGTTGTTTATAGTGGGTAGCAGTGGCATAGTGGTTATCTCACTACAATAAAAAAAACTCGGCAACGTGAGTGAGGTCAATTCACAGCCGCTGCTAACATCAGTGGTGAGTGATATCAGAACTGATCGTGGGCCTCACCTAGGTTGACTCAGCCTGTATCTGGTGTGGTGCGAACACATCAGCACCGAGGAGACATAGTGAGTTTATGTTGTGGCTGGCCAGACTACCTCCTGTACCATGCCATCTTCAATAGGTGCTCACTAACAGTACGTCCCAACAATCAGTTTAAGGTTATGGGGGGGATCTTTCTCTTTGTTGTGTTATTTTTGTAGCAGTGGTGGTGTAGTGGTTCATGAACTGTACTGCGATCTCGATGACCTGAGTTTGATTCACAGCCAAGAATAACATCAATATCTGAATTTGATATTTGAATTCGTCCTGGGCGTCCCCTTCATTGACTCAGCTTAAACTAAGTGGTACAGTGTCAACATCAGTACTGAGAAAACAAAGGGTTTTTTTTTTATTCCAAGAAGCGTCTCAACACCCCTTCAAGTGCCATTCCAGCATTAATAGGTGCTCGCTAACAGCACTGGGCCCAGCAGTCTCTATGACAAACAGGAGACCTTACAACACACAATGAGGTGGGTGCCGTATGCGTCTCATGTTGGGTAAGTGTTGAATCAGACACGTGTGATGTGTTTGTGTGTGATTGCGTGTTGGTGTTATAGCCATTTCTCCGTGCTCATGAACTGCGACGATTTTTTGTTTGGCTCAATTGGAAGGTTGTAAATGCAAATCCTCGTTACCAGTTGACTCAGCCCATCTTCCCTCCAAGGTCGATAAACGAGTAGCACTTTGTCGGAATTCAACGATGGAAGTCCTGTGGAATTTTCACCGCTGGCTCAAGGCCACCGGTATAGATGAGCACTGCATAATGTTCAACTGAGGATGGAGACACTTGTCTTTGACAAGTGGGGAGACAAAGGTGAACTGGCGTGCAAGGTCCAGACCAAACCTTGTCTACATTCACTCTGTGGACTCTTGTAAATATTTACGAAATTGCTCTACAAAAGGCACTTCTTGCCCATTTACTTTTTTTTTTACAGTGAATGGATTTATTTGTCATATTATTCTGTGTATGGAGTGGCTTCAGGAAAGTTTTGGAAATTGATATTGAAAGTGGCTGCGTGGCGAAATGAACTCATTATTCAAAGAGTACTGAGCCCATTGTGTTGAAATCCTGAATTAAATCGGGGCAACAATCCACAATCACAAATTTCTATTCACATGTGTGCATTAATTTTAAGCTCTGAACCCAGTCGCCAAAAGATATTTGCATTAAATACACAAGTCTTTATATTTACTTAAACGTAGCCCAGCTCCAAGGACCTAGCTCAGCTCAAGTTCATAAACATCAGATTATTGACAGGTGGTGAATCACTCTTTACAGAGCATGAAGAAGCATTGTATAGTGTTGATTACAATATTCCCTTTTAAAAGACTCCACGACATGTAATCGTCCGAGGCCAATCTATGGCACGAATTGATGCCCTCCTGAATTGAGTAGTTGCAAAAGGATGCTTCATGTCACGATATTTTTCTCATAACACTGTTTTTTGGATATAAGATTAAATGAATATAAACAATCGCCACTAATGTTTGCGTGCGTGTGTGTGTGTGAGCGATATAGGGCAGTGGATGTTTGGGCTGTTGGCTGTGTTGCTGTGGAGATACAGACGGGGGAGCCAGTTTTCCCGGGTGACTCTGACATCGACCAGTTGTACCAGATCGTGAAGTGCTTCGGTAGGTGACAAGTGGGCACCGCACGTGTTCCTATTAAAAGTACAATAGCAGACTTTTATAAAGTCTGCGAGAAACCAAAGACTAATTATGCAATCATCATCAGCTATTATCAATACACTGCTGGGTGAATATCTCCCCAGGTCGTTGTCATCCCTTAGAGTCCTTCATGTGCCAAAATACGTGTCACTCCTGTACGTGACCTAAACTCATCCCTCCATCTCACTGGTGGTGGTGATAGTCGTCATCTCAGGCATTTTCGCCTCTTAGCTATCATTCCATCAGTGGTCTCGTCCATAAGCCGTCTTTTTCAGTGCTGTATCCTCTCCAAGGCCACTTTTCTCAAGTCAATGTTGCATGTAATTATATATTCACTGTCCTATCTGTCAATGTAATTTCCAGCATGAAAATCTTCATGCTTATTTGCACAATTTTTTGTTTTTATGATACATTTTCTTTGACCGTGTACTCTTTTCTCATCCAGAATGTCAAAAGCAGATAAAACACACTGATGAAAACAGTATTATTTAGGAACATTGATATGTTGCTTTTTATTAAAAAAAATAAAACATTGTTGAAAATCAGTCCAACTTGCTTTTGCGCACCTCTTCATTTTATCGTTATGAGCGCAGTCCACCTTCAATAATTTCCCGGAGATGCCAATAGTGTTACGAGGTGGTCAAGGATGATAGAGTGGTCGGTGATGTCGACTGCAGTGGAGAGGTCATGGAGAATTTAGCAACGAGAGGGATGCACAATCTGAGAAGAGACCATTCATGGTACAGAAAAGTAGTTTAAATTGAAAGACCTATTGACAGATTCGCTTCCCATCATAGACACGTGGCATTTGTATCACAGGCTCAAGGCTACCTACCAATGGAGAAGGCACAATGTGCTCCACATTCACTTGAGTAGCACTTTTATTGTTAGGGGATTTCACTAAAATTATACACAGGCTGTCCAGGAACAACGTTGTTGTTGTGCTGTCAAAGCAGGTTGGGAGTCTCACATCACGTGGTGATCTCTGCTTGATCCACCACCACCACCACAAATTTCTGTATCGCAAGCTTAGACAACCATGTTAAATACAATATATATTCAGAGCTTACTGTTTATTTAAATAGTGCGAGTCTCTTAAGTTGAAAATTGTTGCATAACTTATTTTCTTGATGCCGCCTGGATTAAATTTTTTACATTGAATTAGACGTGTATCAGTCGATTAGCCAGTCGGTGGTGGGACATTCCTGTAATCTAGCACGGTGGAGGCGAGGGTTGGTGGGTTTCCACAAATGTTGGAAAACTCCCTTCCCATAGTGCGTCAAGGAGGAGCCATACCCCCCCCCCCCCCCGGCTTGCTCTGAGAAGGTAGTACAACAAATTGACCAATCTCCATCTGTTTCCATCTGTATGGAAATACAGTGTTGCCCCCTCATGCTCAGGTTTTCCCCGGGTGCTGCAATTTTCAACTCCCCTCTGTAAACACTCATTCATTGGCTGACAACGTCTTAAAAACGCAAGGAAGAACCCTCCTAAAAAAGAGTAATTTGACTCGGCGTGACTTCCTGAGTAAAATAAGAACAGGTTTTACCCTTTCTTGCAATGAAACAGGAGGTGCTAAGATGTTAAAACACCAAACAAACACCTATTGCAAGGCATCAAGTCTGTATTAACCACACGTACTTGTGGCAAAACATACAGACAAACATGCTCTGATAACATATGCATTGTCCTTGAAACTGATTGGCCTACACCAGAGACAGCTTTCTTTATGTCCTTGTCTCACCAGTGTTAGACCAGAGAACGCCAAAAGACGAATAGTACAAAGACAATGCAAGTATCAGAACACTTATAGCTCTGGTCGAGCCAGTATTCCTGGGTAAATAATAAGAAGTATTATTGTTATTTCTGTTACATCTTGAAAGTTGGGTAGTGTATCAGATTCAGGCCATTAATACTTAAAAAAATACCCTCATGCTGAAAGGCTCACAATTGACTGTAAAGGTTTGCGCACATGAATTTTGTGAATAGACATTAGTGCCAGCAGGTTATGTTCCAGCACTGGAAGTTTGACTGACGCACTGCTTCCCGTGCTGTGAACATTAAGGACACGTGATACTTCTCCTTGCCAGTCTGACTGGCAGCTGGATTGTAAATCAAGCGCAACCCAAGATGGAGCAAACTGTGGCCTTTAGAACAGCGCTGACAAATTCTATTGTCTGAACATGATAGATATGGTCAGTAGTTCTTACGCAGTAACCTACAAGAAGGATCATCGTATCATTGACCCGGCGGCTATAAATCCAGTGCTGTGTTGTTTAGCCAAATTTACCATTTACAGGTACTTTCTATCTATTCGAGGGGCACTGAAGTTTATCAATGTCAAATGAAGCTTTGTTCCCAAGGATTCCGCTGGAATGTCAAGCACAAGCGTTAATATGCAACCAATTGAGAAACCCATATTGAGACGAAAGATCTTGAATGCAAATGACAGCTGGAATGAACATGAACAGTTGCTTTACATTGTAAAATGTAAAAGATTACCAAAAATAGGTGGGGGAAAAAACGATTAATATTTACGAAACGAGTGCAGTTATATATTGTTCAGATTCCAATTTATTTAAATAAAAAATATATAGAAATATGAAAAAGTGTCTTGACATCACCCAGCACGTTATTTAAAACGTTGTGTTTATTCGACGATTTATGTTATTTGTTTTATAATGCTTTGACTGTTTAACTAATGCATATTGATTTAAAGCTTTCGTGACTGCAGGGATTCATATTCTTGGTTCTTTCGGTAAAGTTATTATTTTATTGTTTCCCTTCTACGTGACTTTACCGAAAGAACCAAGAATATAATGCATATTAATTTAGACTGTAATAGGTCAGCACAAAAAAGGCTGATGATGGGTTGGCAGAAAACTATTTATGAAAATGCACTTTAGTGCAGCTATACCTATGTAGTGACGTAAATGGAGTCACTATGGCGTTTAGCGCCAGCTACTGTCACAAGAGTGGAACTGTGCGTCTTGAGCCTCTCTCTGGCACCAGAGTAGGTATGGCATGGAAGCGGGCCTAAGGGGGCATAGTTCTGGTGAGGGTCAGAGAGAGGGCAAGTAGGGACGTGACAGTCTGGGTGAACCCGAGAGGGCACGTGACCGGGACAGGGTAGCAAGGGGGCCCAAAGGGTGGCTTGAAGGACACATGATGCTCGGTCGAGAACCTTCTGGTAAGATCCAGAAGGGGGCGTGACCGAAAGCGGAGCAAGGCCACGCCCCCTTCTGGTAAGATCCAGAAGGGGGTGTGACCGAAGGTTGGAGCGAGGCCACGCTCGGGAGCATAAAAGGGAAGTCCCGAGAGCAATCGCGGCTGTCTTCTGGAATCAACCCGTCGGTGCTACATCTCTTCGATCCTTGGTCCTTGGTCTTTGGTCTTAAGCTCGGCATCGTGGGTCAGGCAGTGTGTTACTGACTGACTCGGTTATGTAGTTACCCAGTTGTGGTCTAGTTAACCAGTGTACGTTTATGTAGTTACCCTGTTGGGGTGTAAGAATACACATGTTGCCTCCAAGTTCAAGTGTTATGCCTCCGTGAAACCCATTACACCTACATTCCATCTTCAGTGCAGCTGCACAGTATTTTCAGTCATGATTGAAAAAATCGAGACGGGACATTGATAATAATACCATACAATACAATGCTTCCATGCAACCTTAAAGTGGCATGGAAGCACTGAGTACTTTTACATGGCAAATAGCGCACTTTCAGTGGTCTTACAGGAAAATCCCCACAAGGTGGATTCATTTTGTCAAACGTTGGGTTTACATGACTTTTTTATTTTATTAAAATGGTGTTGAGTCACAGTGTTGTATTTATTCTCATGTAGAGGACTACTTTTATCTTCCCACAATTTAGTGCTGATTGACTCTGGAGGGACTGATGGTTTGAGTTGTCCCCTGATCAGGATTTTAACTTTGCAACCCTGCACTTGTAACACAGGATCACTTTATTTTGGAAAAGATGATTATAATTAAAATTGTAAAACTGTCATTCAATATAACAAAAAATACGAATAAAATTACATGCAAAACATTTGTTAGCCATTGCCAACCAGAACTTTGCTTCGAAGCAAGGGTTATGAGTGTATATGAACTAAATGTAAACCTGCTGTTTGACTGGACACTTTACATGGGCTATTCATCAAAAATCCTAATAAAAAATGTTTACTCAATACTTTCCCATCAAAGGCTTGCTTGGGATACTTGGCCAATTCATTTATTTTATGTTTGTGGGGGAGAAACCTGAGTACCCCAAAGAAAACTCGCACATACTAGAGAACAGCTCTCCTACTAAATTATACAAATGACTTGTCAGCCTCCGACAGGAATTACTTTGTTGCTCAGGAGGTAGGTGTTTCACAAACATCCTAGCTGTCATCTCTGTGTGATCCAGCAATGCCCATATCGAGTATCTGGGTGTATGGCACTGTATCCTAGCACTTGACTTGCAATCTATTGAGAGTGGTCTCAGCCCAACGTCCCTACAAGGTCAATAAAATAAGTAAGTCAACATTGGCTGGACTGCAATTTTTACAACCGGCTTATGGCTTATATCTCCTGATGATATTCAGCCCCGTCGCATTACTCATTTCAGCAGGGGATACTTAAATGGACTTTTAACGTGGATTAATCCAAAATAAGGAAAACATGTTAGGCAAGGGAATCAAAGTCGAGTTGGTTACATGATTAATTATTTTATTTTATACCTACGTGACTTTACCGAAATAACTAAAGAGTATGGATTCCTGCAGTCACGAAAGCTTCAAATCAAGATGAATTACTTTTATTTGTATGCTCAAAATGGGGCATGGGGTCCGTGTAGTAGAAATATTGTATTCCCAAGGCAGAGGGCAATTCCACCGTAGAATGACGACTGTTAACGTCTCACAAGCAGGTGCTCTTAATTGCGAGGGGAGCACCCTAAAGATTCACGCCTCCCAGTCTGTGGCCACAGTTGGAAATTCAAAAAAGTCTTGAGCCAGGAGGTCTTGAACCAGGAACGCGGCCTGATTACAGGTCACACTGGAGCCATGTTTCAAGCCGCTGATCCCGAAGTTAAAAACAGGCCTGTGTTCTCACAACTTTGGTTACTGATTAGCGACCCCCAAGAGTATAAACATATTAACTGAAATAGGGAATTTTAATAGTGGGTAGAACAGCTGATGGGCATGAGAAATTAAGCAGTGGCAGAGTGAAGGTGCAAGAGAAAGGCCAGAGATGGCCAATTGCAGACATTAGAGAGGATGAGGTCGCATCAGAATTTAGTTTTACACTCTTATATTGTTTTGGAGACAGTACAGCAAGTAGGATTCCGACTTCTTTGTTCCCTCCTCAAGCTCGTTGGTCTTTTTCACGCACACTCGTGTTTCCCGCAACATGTAAGGATATGCAAGGAACTGGTGAAACATCCCATGCAGGAACCCCATGAAAATGAGTCCTGAGATCCATTGAGGTTTTCGAGGGTAACTCAAATGTATGACCATTAGTATAGATGCGACTCATCCCTTCACGATTTGACGAATTTTCATGATCCAGGATCATTAGATGATTTACAAATCCATTTTTTGACAGTGGGTACACGGCATACAATGCATGCGAATCAAATATACTGTAGTTGATTCTTAAGCCCACACTTTCATGCACATATCGTGAGCATAAGGATAGTTGTTAATCAACAAACTTGATGAATCATTACATACCTAATCTCACACTCATCATTGGCCTCTCAGCAGTTACAGTGAATTTGTATCTCTGCATATGCAGGAAATCTGATGCCCAGGCATCGTGAGCTTTTCTACAAGAACCCGGTGTTCACGGGGCTTAAAGTGCCCGAAGTTCATGCTGTGGAACCACTTGAAAAGCGTCTGCCCAGGTTGCCGCCACTGCTGCTCGATCTCATTAAGGTGACGGGCACGTGTTGTGGCACACCACATTGCCATTCACGATCCGCCTCGGTGAATGCGTCGTCTCCGAGAACTTTACTCCACACCTCCGATCAGCACGGTTGGCTACGTACGGTGCAAAAGAAGTGCAACATACGTACAGTACATACATTCACTCTCTGGGCCAAAGCTGGGCTAGCTCATTTCCCCACCCTGTCAGCACTGCTCTCCCATTCTGGAACATATTAACACAATTTCTGTGAACAGTTAGCCAGATGTTAAGAACGTTAAAATTATTTAACTATTAATTATGCTTAAACATAACACAATTGGGGAACGCCTGGGAATTCCCCAGGAAGAGCTAGTGTCCGTTGCCAGGGAAAGGGAGGTCTGGACCGCCCTTCTCAACATGCCTCCACCACGACCCTCACCAGGACAAGCGGATTGAGAAATGGACGAATGAACATAACATAATTGAATCATTTTAAAATGATTAGAGACATTTTAGTGGTGTTTGCGAGCAGGACATGGCCTTGTGTATCGTCTTCTCCCCGCCCACCCAAGACCCCCCCCCTCCCCCCACAGCTGTCAGTGGTGTGCTCCGGACCCGCAAATCTGATGCCAAACCCATCTGGCTGTCGCCTGATGAAGCTAGTTGTAATTACTGGTGAAACGTCGCACTCAGATTGTAAATGTTGTGGCTTGGCTGTACTAGTGACGAATTGGCATGTTCTGGTTACGTGACAACCTTTACTAGTTTGCTTTTCGTGTGGTGTCGGGTTTTAATGGCACATTTACATATTTACGTGAACTAACCCCCCCAAAAAACCTCTAATGGATGATACATTCACTTGAGAAATTACTGCAGGAAATGTAATTACTGTAGTTACAAACTATCTGTGCCCCGTGTTATTTAGATACAAACGACCGATGGATTTGGATACCATTTTCAAACGGCATGATGATACATATTTAATTATATAATTTAGGTACTACCCATCTCTGCATGTAAACTGGCATGCCAATTCTCTTGTGATCCCAGCACATGCAACCATTCTCAGAACACACCTCTGGTCTCGATATGAAATATCTAGCATTAGCCAATATTAAAATGCTTCTTCAACATTTTACATACAAAATGTTGTTGCAGCTGTACATTGTACGCAGTAGTTATTTGCGGATGTAGTCTTGAGTCAAGGCATGGCAAGGTACAGTCCTGGCGTAGCTTTTCTCCTCTGTTACCCTTTTAGGTTTTGGGGTGAAGGGAGGCTCATATTTGCCCTCAGTCGTGCTGAGGGCAAATTTGTGTGCACACTCACGGGCAGTCAGTGCTCATGACCAAGTCATTTTCCTATCGTTTTCCTCTCCAATGGCCCACTCCAAACATTCTTGTCAAAACCGTCTCTGCGAGATTTATGGGGTCTCCTTCGGAGGCGTTATGGTAAAACCACGCAATGTCCTTTCCATGCCGCAGCACAGGTCATGGTTTAGCAGGATTGTACCAATGGTGGTGAGTCCCAAACGACCACAGTCCTTGCTGCTGTAGCCACGCAGGGTTCACACTCAGGGTTCCTGGCCCCAACCCTCAGGTACTTCAACTTCATAACATAGGTTTTTGGGTTAGATCGCGTTATTTATAAATGTGTCGCAACCCTCCACCACCCGACACGGCCAATCAGTAAAAAAAAATTCACGTTGATAGAAGACAAATAGTTCACTACTTTAGCCCACCGGTGTGTTGAAGAGTAAATCCACAACATTTACAATTTTTGAGTACGACGTTTCGCTGGTAATTACATCCAGCATCATCGGGCAATTTCCCAGAATAGTGAAGCCCTCCACCTGCTCCTGGTCTTAAATAGAGCAGCAGCAGGGTGACGTCATCATTTAACCCATTCAGATGCAGAGATCAGAGGCGGAGAGGGGGGGGGGTTATAATTATATAATAGATTAGTAATCAGTTAAATGTTATGATTAGTAATTAGTTGGAGATTAGTAATTAGTTGTAATGTGTATTCTTTAATAACTGAACCCAATCACTATACCTAATCAGGTGCAGAAATCAGAGGTGGTGGAGGGGGGGTTATTGTGATTATATACTACGTTAGTAATCAGTTAATTAGTATGTGTTTCCCCTGTAAGGAATAGTAATATGTATTATTTAATAATACTCTTCCAGGCCGCACTAAGCCTGTAGCTGTCAGAGCAATTAAAGTTATTTGTATTTCTCTCAATTTCAATGGATTCTCTAATTAGTTTTGGCCAGTCATAATTAGTTTTACACAACACTTCAACGTTATCAAAATTAATTGAGTGGCCTTGTTGGCAAGCATGTTCTGCCACTGCCTACAGTTGTGTTTGAGATAATTTAATATTTATTAGGTGTTCTTTTAGTCTTACGCTGATGTTACGTCCTGTCTGTGCAATATAGCATCTGCCACATAAGCAATTAATCTGATATACACCTTCTGTTGATAATTTAGGTAATTCGTCTTTAGTACAAGATACTAGTTTTTGAATTTTGTGTATTGTACCAAATCTTTCTTTAATGTTTTGCTTTTGGTTACGGGCTAATTTGTCAGTTACTCCTGAGATATATGGTATTTTGATTGTTTTAATAATCTGATCACTTTCAGCAGTGTTGCTTTGCGATCGTGATTCCAGGTACAGCGGTGGAGGCAGACTCACAGACGTCAGCCCAAAAGGGGGTCTTGACAAGGGAACCAATCCCTGAAAAAGTGTTGCATCATTATTCACCTTTCTGATTTGGAGGTGACGGACAGCCGATCCTGACTTAAATTAGGTGGCCTTTATATATCCCATCGAAGCAGGCAGTTCGGGGTAGCGGAGAGATGGATGGTGTCAGCTTAAGGCCTCTGTGACGAGGGTCCTTATTAGAGAGTTGAAAATCTTACATTTGAAAAGGAACCCTACACCAGCCTTTTCTCCAGATCGAAAACAGTGTGTGTGTTAGAGTGGATGGTTACGTGCCTTCCATTCCCGCTCACGGCCAACGCCAGTGATGATTATCTGAACTGGTGCTGGGCCTACCCTAGGTCGACTCAGCCTCAAATGAATACCTGGTGCGATGTGTAAACATTGCCACTAGGGAGACAAAGGCGGCTGGGCGTGGTGTTAGCCTTCAACCTCCTCGTGTGACGTTGCCGGCCTTCGTAGGTGCTCGCTAACAGCACCTGCCCCAACAGTCTTGTTAAGGCTATACGGGGGATCTTTGTCTTTTGCGTACGTGTCTCCTTGCAGCAATGCCTCTACATGGATGCCGATACAAGACCTCCCTGCTCTAGGCTCCTTCAGCATGATTACTTCACTGCGGATGGTTTTGCCGACAAGTGAGGTTTCTCAAACCGTACTATGCACCCTTTAACCACTCACCGGGTTGTCAAATCAAAGTAAGTTTACTTCAGTTAAAACAAACATAGGGCAGTGATGACCTTCACTGATTACCCTGAGGTAGTGATGAAAATTCCATCACCAGAGGAATAATGGATGGAATTTACCACTGAACAGGATTGGCGTTAACAGCCTCTTGATAGTGAGTTGAACACTCTATCCGCAGTGGATGTGTATATGTTTATACAATTCTACCCATATTAAGAATAATAAGTGCAGTATAGCCTCCTGCCACTGTGGTTATATAGAACAGCCATCTCTGCAAGCTGAGGGTCCTTTATAAACTGAGCATGCGCGACAGACTTAAAGTTTGATAAACAAGCTGATGTTCTTTCTGACCAATGGGAGTTTCTCTAAGAACATTATTGTTAACCCAAATATTGTACTCCAAATAAATTAGAAAATGAATATAACTTCCCTGATGCATCATAATAAAGTAAACGTAAATAATGTATCTTAATGAGTTGCCATCTGGTATAATAAAGGACACTAATTAATGAATTATTCACGTGACAGATATTGTCTCCCGTTTCTTCTAAATTCGTGGCAGTGTGAGTTACATTATGTCTGTTCTAAATGTAGCAAGTGTTTTTTTGTGTTTAGTTGTTTGTGTGTTTAGTTCGTTGTCCCCCCCCCCCCCGCCCCGCACCTCCGAATAGCACGGTTGGCTACGTACGTTGCAAAATAAGTTCAACATACATATCTAAGATTCTCTCAACACCTAGAACTCTGTAATGGAGCACAATCTGGGCCCTATCACTCCATAAAGCCCAGTGCAGGCTGCAAAGTTGTCTATTCATGTCTCCTGGCAGGTTTCTGCTGGAGCTGCTTGAATCCACACAGAAGGACAGGGCAGAGAGCGTGCCGGCCGCGAACATGGACATGGCTATCGAAGACGAGGACTGCTCAAAGGAACCATCTGCTGTGCCTGTCACCGCCGTCCAGAGCCCAGCCAAGGTGTTTGAAGCTCTGCGAATTAGTTGGGGCGATACAAGGGTCCCTGATACTGGATCACGATTCATGATGTGGTGCAATGCAGCGATGCGACACTTACCGATGAGTGACGCCTGCTTTACCACTTCAGCCAGCACTGATGAGAGCCAGGGCGCGAGTCCATGCAGCCACTTGTGATTTAGTAATTTTCTCAAGTGTGGTGAGTTTCATGGTCTCCCACCTTGCACTTAATTTTCAGAGCCTCTTCTTCGAGGGCTGACGTGTAGAGTATACGGTATGTCAGATGCTCGATATGTAAGGAAACTCTCTTTATAAAAAATATTAATGAGTAGTGTTATATGTTGGGAAAAATAGGTCCATTTTAGTTACTATAGTTTTCAGGTGTTATCTTCTGGGTTCGTTCAATTACATGATTTGGCATTCTGATCATTTTATGAGTTCCTCAGGGTTATTTTCTCCACATGGGAATATGGGATCCCAAAGCCAGGAGAGATGAATAAACAACAATAGTTACGCGTCTTTATTTCTCTCTCTCTCTCTCTAAAAGTGCGTCTTCTTTTAATATGCAATTTCACACACATAGTGTAAATGAGATGTCTTCATTCAACAGTGGAATGATCATGACCAATAATGATTGAGCAAATGCATCCAGATCTTCAGATGGAAGTCCTCTTCTAGCATGACAATGCCAAACCAAACGCGTCCCTGAGAACTTCAAGGGCCATTATTATTCCTCAAGATTAACTTTGCTTCCCCATGAACCACCCTCACATTTTCATCTGAATGGCCCTTTGATGGAGAGCTTACATGGACAACATTTTGGAAAGAACTCTGCTGTACAGGATGCTGTTCATAAATGATTACCTGATGCTGATTATTAATTTTAAAAGGCCATTGATATAATTCGAGTTTGCTATAGGCGTGCATTATTGTCATGCTTCCATGCCAGATAATACATTTTTCTTACTAACAAAACTGACTACAAAATCACGTCTGACCATTTGCTATTTATCTACAAAATAACTGCTTGTTTTCTGGGGTTGTGCCTTATTTTGACACGGTTTTCTGTCTCCAGGACCTGGAACGGAGTAGCAAAGATATAAAGGAGGGCCTGGCAGAGAAGAGGGATCCGGCGAACGACAGCGAAGCGAAGCTGCCCAAGTTCGGCTCCAAGAGCAGCTGCAGTCCGGCGGCGAGCAGTAAACCGCCGCTGCTGCCCGTGCTGCCGCCCGTGCAGTTCTGCGGCACGACCCCACGACCGCCCTCCCCAGATCACGGCAGTGACGGCACCGGCAAAGGAGCCGCGCTCCTGGCAGCGTCGGCGGCGGCGGCGGCGGCTGCGGCTGCGGTGACGGCAGCGCGGGCCAACGTGGGCAAGAAACCGGGAAGGCAGGTGGGCACGGAGGGTGCTGGCAGCAGCAGGCACGGTGGTGGGCACGCGGCGGCGAGCAAGCCGGCCTTCGTCCCCAACTAGGCTGGCACAACAGGGCAGGGGAGGGACGCACGACAGGGACACGTCGCAGAGCAGGGAAACGATGCTGAGCAAGCAAGTGCTGCTAAGCAAAGACACGGAACAGAGCCAGGTGTTATATACACGTGCACGCACGTGCGCACACTGAGTTGTGTGGTTTGGAATGGCCTGTAGTGGATGGCGGGGTTACCACCAAGCCAATTCGCATGGAGAAGGTGGCTTCATTTCGACTGTAGATGTTTGGTTATTGCATGTGGTTACTTATGAAAGTACTGTAATGGAAACCTCAAAGACCCTGTGATGTAACGTTTTTTTTCAGATTAACCATTATGGTATATTCTGGTTCAAATACATCATTTGGTCGTTGACAACTATAGTGAATTGTCGACAATGTGTATGTTCACGTTGAAGGGAAACAATAAAATAATAACATTTTATTGTTATATATATATTATTATTATTTTATTGTTTCCCTTCAACGTGACTTTACCGAAAGAACCAAGAATATGAATCACTGCAGTCACGAAAGCTTTAAATCAAAATGTGTATGTTTATAACCACAAAGTGTAACTCAAGCAAATGCTTTGGTATATAAGCACAGACCAAAGAAAGCCCTTACAATTCTTATCATTTACAGTGTTGGTAAATTAATTATGATAATTGAGAGTTATTTTCCTGTATTTAAATGCAGTTGTAAAAATGTCTTCATTACAAATTATGATGCATGATAATATGTATTCCATTTAATATGTCCAGATAAATGAGCATTGCTTATTTTATTTTTATTTTTTTACATTTTAGAGAAAATACAATATCTTCATGATAGGTTTGTTTAAACCATTCTGGGTTGAAATAAAAGGTTGCCAAGAGTTACCCAAGATAAATCTAAACATAATTAACGAGCCTTTTGCCCGTCAAAGGATGGGTGTGTTGCAGTAAATCTGAAACTTGCAAGTGAAAATCAGACCACAACGTGTTATATGCATTGCATCAATTCGTGTGCAGTTTGTAAGGGCGCAGTGACACAGACCTATTTCATGTAAAGGTGATAATCCCTTGTTCATCATGACGTCCTTTTTACTTTGATGTCTCAACAGCGTTATGGAGATCGCGTGACGTGAGGGTTCTGCCTTTGTAGTGAGGGCTGTGAGTTGATGCCGAGGAGGGGGGAGGAGGCGCCTCGCCCTCCATGTGGAGTGACGTCACTCGCTCATTACTATGAATGGGGGGGCTCTTCGATGTGGAGTGATGTCACCTGCTCATGATTATTAATGAGGGGGGGAGGGTCCATGTGGAGGACGTAACCTGCTCATGATTATTAATGAGGGGGGCTGTTCGATGTGGAGTGACGTCACTTGCGCATGATTATTAGTGAGGGGGGGAGTACTCAATATTGAGTGACGTCTCCCGCTCATGATTATTGAGGAGGGGTGGGGGGGTGTCCATTTGGAAGACGTCACCTGCTCATGAATATTAATGAGGGGGGCTGGTCGATGTGAAGTGACGTCACGAGCATTAAGGACAGACATTCCTTGGTGATTATAGTAGGTATGGTTATTCGAATTCTGTGGAATGGTTCAGGACTCTAGTCAAACTTAGGAGATTAATCATAACGTCTAAGAGTAGTAAGACTAAATATACACCAGAATGACTTCAATAGTCACTGTCATGATGCTTATTTCCTCTTTAAATGAATGTCAGAGCCAGGTTACAGCAGTGGAGGAGATGAGTAAGGAAGTTGGCATCTCTTTGGTGACTGGGAATGTGAGCCCTGCGCTAAGCCATCCTCCAGCCGTTTGCCAGGAGAGTCCAGACACCGGCAAAGCAGAAGAGGACACCTGCAAGGTATGTTACTGGCCTGTAGCCAAACCCACTACATAGACCAACTTACATTACCATATGACTGTTGCTATATTGCGATAGAATTAGACGCTTGCCTCCAGGAGCGTTTAACCCATTATTTTTTCTACATGCACTATATTCTTTCAAACTGGCAATGCTATATCAATGCAAATGTGGTTTATCTGTATTATGGGACCTTTGGTGAGAGATTGAGATCATAAAGAACAACAATAATGGTGATGATAACATTTTCCATTAAATAGTTTAAAATAATATTTAAGATTTGTTGTTATCAATGATTCCCATGTTTCTATATAGGTACAGTGAGGGAAAAAAAGTATTTGATCCCCTGCTGATTTTGTACGTTTGCCCACTGACAAAGAAATGATCAGTCTTTAATTTTAATGGTAGGTTAATTTGAACAGTGAGAGACAGAATAACAATTAAAAAAAACACATGTCAAAAATGTTATAAGTTGATTTGCATTTTAATGAGGGAAATAAGTATTTGACCCTTCTGCAAAACATGACTTAGTAATTGGTGGCAAAACCCTTGTTGGCAATCACAGAGGTCAGACGTTTCTTGTAGTTGGCCACCAGGTTTGCACACATCTCAGGAGGGATTTTGTCCCACTCCTCTTTGCAGATCTTCTCCAAGTCATTAAGGTTTCGAGGCTGACGTTTGGCAACTCGAACCTTCAGCTCCCTCCACAGATTTTCTATGGGATTAAGGTCTGGAGACTGGCTAGGCCACTCCAGGACCTTAATGTGCTTCTTCTTGAGCCACTCCTTTGTTGCCTTGGCCGTGTGTTTTGGGTCATTGTCATGCTGGAATACCCATCCACGACCCATTTTCAATGCCCTAGCTGAGGGAAGGAGGTTCTCACCCAAGATTTGATGGTACATGGCCCCGTCCATCGTCCCTTTGATGCGGTGAAGTTGTCCTGTCCCCTTAGCAGAAAAACACCCCCAAAGCATAATGTTTCCACCTCCATGTTTGACGGTGGGAATGGTGTTCTTGGGGTCATAGGCAGCATTCCTCCTCCTCCAAACACGGCGAGTTGAGTTGATGCCAAAGAGCCCCATTTTTATCTCATCTGACCACAACACTTTCACCCAGTTGTCCTCTGAATCATTCAGATGTTCATTGGCAAACTTCAGACGGGCATGTATATGTGCTTTCTTGAGCAGGGGGACCTTGCGGGTGCTACAGGATTTCAGTCCTTCACGGTGTAGTGTGTTACCAATTGTTTTCTTGGTGACTATGGTCCCAGCTGCCTTGAGATCATTGACAAGATCCTCCCGTATAGCTCTGGGCTGATTCCTCACCGTTCTCATGATCATTGCAACTCCACGAGGTGAGATCTTGCATGGAGCCCCAGGCCGAGGGAGATTGACAGTTCTTTTGTGTTTCTTCCATTTGCGAATAATCGCACCAACTGTTGTTACCTTCTCACCAAGCTGCTTGGCAATGGTCTTGTAGCCCATTCCAGCCTTGTGTAGGTCTACAATCTTGTCCCTGACATCCTTGGAGAGCTCTTTGGTCTTGGCCATGGTGGAGAGTTTGGAATCTGATTGATTGATTGCTTTTGTGAATAGGTGTCTTTTATACAGGTAACAAGCTGAGATTAGGAGCACTCCCTTTAAGAGTGTGCTCCTAATTTCAGCTCATTACCTGTATAAAAGACACCTGGGAGCCAGAAATCTTTCTGATTGAGAGGGGGTCAAATACTTCTTTCCCTCATTAAAATGCAAATCAATTTATAGCATTTTTGACATGCGTTTTTCTGGATTTTGTTGTTGTTATTCTGTCTCTCACTGTTAAAATAAACCTATCATTAAAATTATAGACTGATCATTTCTTTGTCAGTGGGCCAACGTACAAAATCTGCAGGGGTTCAAATACTTTTTTCCCTCATTGTATGTAAGCTGAACACCAGCAGCTAATCAGTTTCTGAACCTAGCCTGGGGCTCCCCTAGGTTGATTGTGCCTCAAGTGAGTACCTGTTGCGGTATGGTTATGAACATCATTGCTTGCAAGAAAAATGCAGTTGTGTGTGTGTGTGTGTTACTCGCCTCACGACCCTCTCGTGTGCTGTGCCCCCCTCTGATTAGCTGCTGTTATTACTGTCGATGAAAAGACAAAGATTCCCCATTTTTCTATGTTGGTTGCTGGGGTAAGTGTTGTGAACAAGTACCCATTAAGGTTGCTACAGCATTCCGTGAGGGTGGTGTAGGTGGCATCAAATTTGGCTGCCTTTGTATCCCCCAGTGTTAACGTTCACAACTGTGCCCGCGTCCCGTTTTAAACTGAACCAACCAAGGGCAGGTGCCGGTCATGTTCAGGTACCACTTGCCAACCGATGCGCATGACCGTGATTTTCACTCGGATCGCCAGGATCACAACGCAATGCCAACAACATTCAGTGCACACCGACAGAGGCCTTGCAGTGCGGCACCGTGGGACTCTGGCCGTTGTTGTTTCCTCACACAGCGGGACCGCGATGGTGGGGAGACCGGCGGAGCGAGGCCGGACGCGATGTCTCGGCACACGAGCCTCGTGCTAGCTCGGCTTGGCATGACCACCGCCACCGACGTCACAACGGGGGCGTCTGCATTCAGGTGCCGCCCTCCATCACAACCCCAGGCTGTGGTTGCTTTAGGTCAGCGGTGGCCAATGCACCAAAGCGCTATGAGCCATTCTGGTGGATCTGGACGGGCTTTGCGGTCCACCAGAAAGGTATGACCAATTATTTTCTGGATTGAACCTCGTATTCTACTCCAGAGAAAAAGTACTAGCGTCATCTATTGGTAGGTTTTCTATTTTTTTAATGTATTTCGTTGATTTTATCTGCCATCAGCTTTAACGAAAATTGTTGTGATTACGTTAGTCTTCTGATTTGTCCTGAGATTTACCAAAAAATGTTTTGCCACCTACTCGTGGATCACGATCCACATTGGCCACCGCTGCTTGATGGTCTATTGTTCAGGCACCGTAACTTCACCAGGTTCTATGGTTCTGGATGCACTGAGTTGTGTATGTCTGGTTGGTTACAGTTTTTGTATCATTGAGGAGAAGCCTTTATACAGAAGGAGACCGACAAAGGAACCGTGTGTTCTTGTTTCTTTCGGTAAAGTCACGTAGAAGGGAAACAATAAAATAATAAAAATATAAAACAAAATTCTCACGACGTTTAAACTGCAACACAAGCAATCATCATCAGGTGTTGCAGCCGAAACATCGTGAGAATTTTATTGTTTTATATTTTTATTGTTTCCCTTCTACGTGACTTTACCGAAAGAACCAAGAATATTAATCCCCGCAGTCACGAAAGCTTTAAATCAAAATTTAAAGGAGCTGTGCTTAAGGTAGGAAGTGCTTGAGCAGGTTCGGAAGGAGAGGTGTCAAAATGGGCAAAACAAATCTCGAATGTGTGCATATTGTCAGAGGGAAAGGCTTGCTGGAAGGATGCTCTAGAAGAAATTATGTTTGGTGGAAAAGGGCAGAAGGTCGAAAAAGGAAGTTGCTGCTCGATTAGCCAAATAGAAGGGGCCCGTCCGTGTGCCACAACGAAGAGGAAAGGACGAGGAGTGGACTAGACCAAGACCTTACCCTTAGGCAGAAAACTCCAGTGGGAAAGAGAGAGTTGAGTCTCCGTTGGAATCCATGGCATCAGATGCACCAGAGAATGTGTCCGTTGGGCTCTCTATTCTCAACTCACTGGGTGAGTTGCGTTGATTATATTCTACAGCTCAACTTGATTCAAGGTGTTTAAGATCTATTTACTTCTAAGGCCCCTAGAGCAAAGAGTGAACTATCTCCTTTGGGAGCTATGGTTTCACTGAATCTGTCGTTCCAGATGTACAGGATTAATTGTATTAATTTACTTCTATAATCCTAAATTAAGTTCGATGTCCAACATGTAAATGATCTCGATTGAGCATTTCATTTGTACAAGTTTTATGCTTAAAGGTTTAAATGTTCAAGTGTATTCTGTTTAACCACATGGGAACTCAAGAGACCAGGCTAGTCTCATTTGAGTGACCTGGTGCATGAGTTTGCATAGCGGGCAATAATTGCTATGTATAATATCAATTGAGTGGTTTGTGCGTACTTTTCGAATTTGCCTGCTCACAATGGCCTACTTTAGCAAACGTAGATGGAGTCATTGTTGCCGTTGGATGAATTAGATATAGATGTACTGTAGCCCTTTTGTTACAACAGGATTCTCAGCCGCTTGTTCTATAACCTTATGTCACCATGGGCAGTATTGTAGGAATGTGCTTTTCATGAGAAGCATTAATCACCAAAAGTATATAAAACATTGCCATTTTTAAAATAAATTTGAAATAAGCAAAGGGGCTGTCCATAAATGACGTCATGCACCTGGGAGGGGAGGAGTCAGACATTTGTGACGATGTGTGACGAGGGGGGGGGGGTTGAGAAATGTGACGTCACATCAAAATGCGCAACTTTAAATAAATATACACGTTCTACTTAATTAAATAGACTTTTTAATCAATGTTTTCTCCTACAACATCAGAGTGCAGCGCCACATTAAATACGCACTACAATGACAATAGTTTAAAGCGATTTGAAGCATGTTTTATTTCAAAATGGAAATATGGTTTTGGGGGGGGGGGCAGAGCTTTGTGACGTCATATTTGAGGGGGGGTCTGACTTTTTGTGACGCCGTGTGACGAGAGGGGGGTGGGGTCAAAAATCGTCCAAAATCGCGTGACGTCATTTATGGACGGCCCCAAATGCACCTTTATGCATACCCAATGGGGCGCCACAGTGGCGAGATGTTGACTACCTCGCCTTGTATACAGGAGGTCGTGGGTTCGATCCTGACCCTGACACCTGCACATTTGCGTGTTCTCCCCATGGCCACGTGCATTTCTCTCCGGGTCCTCTGGATATTTTTGTCTCCACATTTATAAACATGCATTTAGAGTATTTGGCTGTTATACATTGCCACATTATAAGCTTTTTCGTTGAGCTATCATTTGTGGCCAGGTCGCTTCTGAATAAGAGCTACATCGCTCAGTGGGCCTTCGCTGGTAAAATACAAATATTAGCTTCGTTTAGTACTTCTATAAGCGCATGGGTATGAGCGACACAAATATTCAGTAAGTAACCTTCGTGAATGCAGTTAAAGCAAATGTGTTCCTCTTTCATCAGGACATCTGAACGCTTAAGAAAAACGAGCAATGCCTTCAAGAAGCCAACGCAGGCTGCCCTCCTCGCCCCCCGTCAGTGTGCACTGGGCCAGGTCTGTGAAGCCTTCACTTCGGTTTATGGATTCATTTTCATAATCTTTAACAAATCCAATCAGAAAAAATCCATCAAATTACACGTACTAAGTAACGGTATTCTCATAAATTACCAAACAAATACTTATAGATTTACCAAAACAAATATTTAAAGTGTCTTCTTGCTCAAATTAGTATTAAGGCAAGTACTAATCTTAACCCTTTCCCATTTGGATGATGTATGTGTACGTCATCAGTTTTTTATTCCATACACGTAGTTCATAGGAACGGAACCGGAAGAAAAAATAAAATAACTTTATCGGTAACGAGGCTCCCACAAGGCCATGCGGGAAGGCGTGTGGCACAGTTTGGTGCCAGCTATCATAGAGTGCGGTCGTGTCGCTACGGTTCTCTGCGGTGAGTAACAATGTCTTTAAAAACAGCGGCGCTACGCCTCTCTAAATAAAATTAACGCTGAACCGTTTACACGATCCGAGATTCAGTGGTGACCGGGACCCATCCTGCAACTTGCAGTCGTCTCGGAACGGTAATGGGCTAATTAGTAACCCTGAAGTGGTGTCAGTTCCACATCATTATGGTGTGGGCCAGACTATCCATGGGATAACCACAGCTGACGTCCTACAGAGCGGTTCTCATGTTAATGACGTCACAGAAACGATGAGCTCAATCGACCCTCGACCAAGGTTTGAACTTCTAACCCTCCGAGTGCTCATGGAACGGTCTCCCAACAGCAGAATGAGTAACGCGTCACTCACGCTTGCCGATGTGCGGCTACCCAACGCTGCCCCGCCGTCGTGTGCAGATCAGCTTGCAGGAGAAGACGGCTCAGTTTGATCACATGACCAACCTGCGCAAGCGGAAGGATGGCGTGCGTGCCGAGCGGAGGGAACTGCACCTCCCTGAGCTCAGCCTGCCGGCGCCCAGCCTCGATCCTCGCCCCGTTGACCCGGGTAACGGTCGCACAGTCCCGTAGAGAACAAGCTTAGAAGTGGCTGGGTTTTTGCCCTCTCATCGCTCAACGCTGCTTATATCTCAAGATCTAACGAGTCTGGGCACATTCTGTGTGGCTTGCTCAAAGGTTATGATGATTCTTCTGAGATAATCTATAAGCAGCCCATTAATAACCATGGCAGCATTTGGTATCATAATACTAATTGCTGCACGTGAATCCATAAGGCAAGTATTAAATTAAAGTCGCAGAATCACAATAACTTACAGTATGGCTTTTCCTGAAATCATGACATTTGACTACGAGTGTGGTCCACATCAACCATCATCACTTCTACGTTCTAAGGATGTGATGTCTGCGTCAATTCACCAAGGCAGCATTCCAATGAACGGGCGAACGTGTGCCTCAAGACTATCAGCTCGCTAGCTTCAGTGGTCAGCGTGCTCACGAGTATGCATAGAATCCACAGTGCCGCTCCCTCACCTGCCACTGCTGTTACAGGGAGTTACCAAAGTGCACCATACGGTGTACGTCGTAGACCAGTTTGATTTAATTTACAAGAGTTGCATGCTGGAATCATGGTTAAAGTCATGCACGTATCTAATCTAAACTGTGAGTAGTTAATAACTCTTTGCATAACTTTTATTTCCAGAGTCTCACTTGCTGACTGCACCTGTATCTCAAGGGGCTCTCGCATGATTAAATGAAGTACATTTGATGAATGCATAGCAGCGGATGTTTAAACCAAACCAACATAACAGTGTTTTGTGAGCAGGTTGGTGTATCTTGGCAGGCCCGATACACAAATTGATTCCTGAGGCTTGTTAGACAGATGATGACAAATCCTCCAGAATCCTGAGCTACTTTCTTCACATACAGGGAAGCAAAAGCAGCTGAAGAGAGAGCCAGGCATGCGCTCACTTGATTCCAAGATTCCTGTCATCACTGCCACGGATATTAGCCCTGGCAAGCAGAGCCATCAGGTAAGACGTATAGCATACACGCTCATGATGAGCAAAACAGGTTGGAGGGACACGTCTGGAGAACAGCAGAATGTGCAACTGGGACAGCTATTGAAGGTGGACAGAAATAAAAGATGAAACGGGGGTGAACGAGGGCAGGATGGAATGCTTTTAGAAAGCTGAATTTGATCACGGAGTGGGCAGCCCAATGAAAGAAACGTGTCCGAGAGCACATTCACCAAGGAGATGGAGCGGTGGACCAGTTCACTCGTGGGTTCGAGGTGGATCATCACATCGCGGCAGCTTGGAGGTGCCTCTAGCAGTGGATTGACCATCATGTATTGACCATGATCATGATGATTAGGGGCTCGGGGTAAGGTAGAGTGGTAATAATTAGGGGTTAGCACTTAGGTGTAAGGCATTTTTAGTTGTTGCAATTGTGGATGAGAGCTGTAGATGAAAAGTAGGGTATATGGGAAGTTAGGGGTTATAAGGAGCATTTATGGGTTGCAGTTATGGTTTAAAGTCATGTGTATTGGTTAAATATAGAAGTTTTGATTTGAATATATAAATTCTAAAGTGTGTTGAGCATGAGCGATAATTGTTTGGGTGGGCCTGTATTTAGTGTCTTGGTTCACGATTTTCTACCCGTGTAAGTTTATTTAAACAATAAAATTTAATTGCCTCTATTTGAGATACACCTAGGTCTTGCTTGGAAAATGTTTTATTACACTATCCCATCTCATTTGGCCATCGACTCTTCAAATTATAGTATGTGTAATATGTAACAATCTAATTGCATGTGCCAAGATTTTAGAGCATTACATTCCCCTTGGCTTTCATGGCCCTGCACGGCACACTCATCACAAGTCACTCATTCACGTTCCACCCTTGACTTTGCCATTCTCAGGAAAGCCCGGACTCCAATCTGCCCCGGCTGTGAGTTTTGGTCTCCGACTCCGGCGCAAATCCCCCCAGAGCAAATCAGTTCACTGGCAGGCACCTGGCGCAAGAAAGTTAAACAATGACGTACGGTTTCATTTGCATACAGTGTACATTGTCTACCCGTGCTTGTGTATGTTATGATGTATAAATTATTCAGTTTTGCACCAACACGCAAGATCTGTAAAGATCTTCGGTAATGACAGGAAGGGGGCAGGAGTGCATTGCACTCTCAAGAGGGATTTTCAGCACCCCATAGCTTGCAATTCAATGGTACAGTGCACAATATTGTTAATTTAACTCACATTATATATAGTTGAAGTGGCTGGGGGATTTAATTGCTTCAATGCTGGTATCACGAGCACCGAGCCAGCAATATATTGAGACGTTTAAAATCCCAGGCTTCTGTCCGAGATTAAACCAGTTTATCAAGTGTAGCGAGTTGCTCATCTCGGCCTGGTCACTTGATGACTGCAAGAAAATCCACTTTACCATAACAAAAATCATCGTCTCTCCGATATGCGAGCATCTATTTCAGGCAAATCGATTCGACCCACAAAGGAGTGAAATCTTGCGGTTGCGGATAAAATGCTCGATTGAAGAGGCACTGCAAGTTTTTTTTTCTGTGGTCTCTCGTCTGGCGTCGCGTTCCTCGATAAAAAGTTGCCAGAAAGGATGTTCCTTCACCTCGTGCCTTGACTTCCGTTATGTCATGGAATGCGGTGTAATCTTCCTGCACTATATATCGACACGTAGCTAATAAATTAACACATTGCCATTCTTGTCTCCTACCTAAACACATTATATATGCCTGTTTTGTTGTCTTCTGATCAGGTGTGATGTTAGCCCTAACTTCATCACAAGCCAGTAGTACTGCTGCTGATGCCACGTATACTTTGAGCAGGTGCTCAGCAGTTTTGTTGTGTCTATCAATGTAAAGACATGCTCCAACACTGTACTCGTAAATTGTTCACGATTAAATAGACGACGAAAGAAAAAGGTGAAGATGTGCACTTCCATTCTTTCTAATCATGGATGTGCTGTCGGTTACATGGATGTTGGACATCCTGTGTGTCACTCAAGCCAGAAACAAGGTCATAGTCACACGTCGCGGGGCATATAATGCAGTTAATCGTTTTCATCCACATGGTGTGCTGTGAAGAGCCATTGACCGAAACGTTGCCTTTATTTTTTCTTTAAAGGGCCGTGTTATTTATGAATGTTGAGTTTTGTTTTAAATGCGTGCTTGTGAACCACTAGCAACTCAGCATCACTAAATAATTTGTACTTCTTCACGTGATTGCATGCCTTACGATTTGTATCGAGTGACCCAATTGAGTAACACACGGAATGTCCCATTTTATATGGAATAAAACCACAGGGTTTGATTACACGCCTGTGAAGCATGGCCGATGTGCGTATTTATTAACACTTCAACATTACCCCACCACATCCGTACGCCAGGCTGCCCTCTACTCATTGCAAGTGGCATTTTCACATGATTAACGGAGCAATCGGTAATGCACGAATTTCCAAAGGTGGTCCTGGGCCAGTATAAAGTCATCGTTCCTATGGCAGGGATCAGTATATGCTGTGGAATTGCCACACACGTGCTCATTTTATTGACCACAGCGACATCCCGGGGCAAGTCACACCTGGGCCTGGATTTGACAAAGTCCTATTGCTCCGCTAAATTAGCTAACCTTTGGCCCCTGTAGTTATATGAACACCACACATTCTTTTTCACGATTGCCACACTGATCAATATGGACTTGACTTGCCAAAATGTGTAGAAAAAAAACTAACAACATTTACAAGACACATTGAATGAAAAGTGAATGTTTAATATTTGGCAATTTGAATTAAAGAGGTTTAACGTTGCAATATTTGGCTATCGATCACGAATTTGAACCACAATGCACTTAAGTTGTGGTGCCACATTAAAACACGGTACTATTTGATCATAAAGGACTGTCCTTTAATACGATTATAGTAAAACACAATTTCTGCAGTTACCCAGATTAAAATGTTGAGACACCATAAAGATTCAACAAATTATGGATTCATGCTGATAATGTTAGAGGCATTGTTTACATTGCGATATACAGCAGATGTTCCTGCAGACAACTGCAGATTTGGAAGAAAAAAATATCCTATTTTACCCAGCCAACTGCAAAGTTCACGACTAACACCTTCACAGATTGAGCAACCCTGAACTTGCAAGTGCTTTAAATGTTCAACTTCACATGTAAAAAAAAACAAAGTTGAATTTCAATTTAAAGCTTTCGTGACTGTAGGGATTCATCTTCTTGGTTCTTTCGGTAAAGTCACGTAGAATGGAAATACATGCTAATTTTTGACTTTAACATCCTGCTAATCCAACACATTAACACAGCTACTTCAATGCTAAATTCTTCTGTTGATATAGTAGTCTAGTTTATAGCATAGTTGTAACGCAACACAGGACAGTGCAGCGCATCGTGGCTGTTTCTCTCTCCCCCCCCTCCTCCGTTCCGAACATAGATGGACTCGTCCGTCTGAACAAAGCTCGTCGCTTTCCGTGGTGCAAACGTTGAAAAGAAAAAAGAAACCGCCACTTTTTCCGACATAGTTACATGCTTATCCCTCACACGAACATTATGCTAATCTCCCAGTTACATGCTAATTTCTGACTTTAACATCCTGCTAATCCAACACATTAACACAGCTATTTCAATGCTAAATTATTCTGTTGCTATGTAAACTCCTTGGTCAAGGCGCTCCGATCCTCCCACCCAGCTTAAAAGACGCTGCCAAGCTTGGCAGTGTTCACTGAAGCGCTGTCTTCCCAACAGTTCTGTTTCTTCACCTGAGGAAGGCTACTTGTGTTGTGGCCGAAACGTCGTGAGAATTTTATTGTTTTATTTGTATTATTTTATTTACATTCTATGTGACTTTACCGAAAGAACCAAGAAGAAAAAACAGTTGGTTTTACTTCTATCAACAATGTATTTGTTTACCCAGTTTTGGTGTGTGGGAGGAAACTAGTGTCTGGGAAAAAAAAATATTTATCGGATGTTTGAAAAGAGCATGTAAACTACACTGCCTTTTGTTGCCCACAACGTAGCCACACAAGTCGGTCTTGAGCTCCAACGATTTATATTGGCCTCTTGTAACTTTTACGGATGCTTGACGTAGTTTCAAGCAAAACGTCATGACCAGTTTCTAAATTTGTGTTGATAAGGACGAACCGAGCTGTGAGCAGAAACAATTGGGACGTTCCATCCTTGTAGACGGAACAATTCCATTGTTTGCCTATGTCGGGTGTTGGGAGGGTCTTAACGTCGCAAATTTGGCCAAATCATTATGCAGCCCAACCCAAAAAACTATAGATCAACGAAGTCGCAGGCAGGTGTCAAGACGTCGCAAAGGTTTGTGGAAATTTTATTTTAAGTACAGCACCATACAACGTTTTCATGGTCTGCACCTCTTCCATTGATCTTAACACCAACTTCGAATCATAATGTAATAACAGTAATCATGACAATTCACATCAGCTGCATGTAGCGACAAGTGATGTTTGCTTCTCTTCCCACCGCAAGATCTGACTATTACTAGCAACGTTGACACGCAAAGGCAGGAACTGATAACTAAAGTATAAACGGAGTGATTAGTTATTGACCAGCTCCACTAAAAGTGCCTTGAGAGCCTCCAAAGGACAACTTAATTTTCACAGAACATCTATTATATGCAGATGAGGTTTGGATAAATGTTGCATTGTCCAATTACAATTACCAACCACTAAGAATCAAAGAGCACTTGAAGATGTGATTAATTGCCAAAGATCCCTTTTCTGTCGAATGGTATAAATTTTACCGTACATCCCCCTCCTAAATCTTAAGGTCACCCAACTAACTTGTGATTTACCCAGGTTTCACCAGGCACACAGATCATACACAACGACATCTGCAATGGCTCGCATTCAACTTGCCACTCCAACGAAGACACTTGGCAAAAATCCAGTTTGGTCTTATGAAGGGAGGAGGTTTCTCTGACACAATTGAGCATTCAGTTTGGTTACATTTCAAAGCAAATCAACACTTTGTTAACTATTGCTATCGATTAATATTTACAAAGCATAAACAATGACATTGCATTTTGATTTAAAGCTTTCGTGACTGCAGGGATTCATATTCGAACATAGATGAACTCGTCCACCTGAATAAACTGCCAAATCGCTCTCCGTGGTGCTAATGTAAAAAAAAACACTTTTTTCAAATTTTCTTGACGTTGTTTTCACACCTGATGATGATTGCTTGTGTTGCAGTCGAAACGTCGTGAGAGTTTTATTGGTTTATATTTTTATTATTTAATTGTTTCCCTTCTACGCGACTTTACCGAAAGAACCAAGAATATAATGACATTGCAGTCAAAAATATTTCTGGCACCAGTGGATGGCGCCAGGAGACTGTGGAGCAGTCTGCTTCAATTTACTTCCCACACACTGCTGGCAACTGGCCCTGCAAAAGAGAAGAGGTAGAACACGGTAAGACGACATGCTTTTCTTTTAGTCGGCAAATCGTGATTTCTGCGGGGCACATTTTCCAATGAGTTTGCATCGACCCTCATCATGAGTTGCTACAATTGGCATAATGGAGTTGGCAAACTTAGATTTGGTTTTCTCAAACAACACTTCCTCATGCCTCACCGTGGGTCCACCATTCCACGTTTCTCCACCCTTCATTCAAAACCAAACCAAGTCGTTAAAAGCTGCGTGCGCTTGGGTAAGCGCTCAACAGCAGCACCACGGGCGAGGCAGGAATCGCGGATGCGACTTAAGAGCTCTCACATTTGACACGTGTACACGCAAGCGTCTCTCAATTTTAAATGGGTGCTCTAGCCATCGTCGTAAGGGGCATTCGAAACAACCATCAGGCATGTGTAGCGTGTGACAACTTAATTCATAATTTGAAATTAAACTGGTATATTCAGAAAGACAATCTGGTGGATAATGGAGTTTGAAGAACCCAGCTATTGAAAAAGAGCTTATTTGCTCAATGGGCCTCAGAAAACATAAATTGACTTAAGGCGTGGAAATGTCCATTCCAGCCAAGTCCCTCGCTTCAGACAGAGCCTCTTCATCGTGATTGGGAATAACCCCAGAAGAGACACTGAAGGGACTGGCACCTCCAATTTTCCTTGAAGCCACTCTGACCAAAACCACACGGACTGGATTGTGCTTCATGTGCAGTTTTTTCACTGCACAGTAATAAACAAAACTATCCCTCAGAGCTGCACAAGACTCAATTCATTAATTTTACGTGACAAGAGTTGTGTGTGCAGTCATTGGTAACTGGGCTAAGACTATGAAACATACTACATTTAATAATAAGGTAAAAAGCCAGTCCTTCAATGCAACAGCACATTGGTGATAGCGCAGGGAGCAACAAGCAATGATGTTTGCAAAATATTCCCTGAATGAGCCAAGGTTGCAATTTTAAATTGCACTACCAGAAAACAGAACCATTTGTATCCTTGAAGGTTCCAGACAGTACAACGTTCAGACCATTCAAGACAATCAGTAATAATCATATATGAATATAGAGACTCCAATCAACAACCAGCCACCAAGGAATTGACAAAAGCCCTGAGCAGTGTCTCCTCCTCTGGATGCCTGCATGGTCGAGAACAGGGGTCCCCAACCCCGGTGCCGGTCCGTGGCTTGTTAGGAACCGGGCCGCACAGCAGGAGGCGAGCGGTGAGTCCGCGCGTGGCCCACCCCAATTATTTTATTATTTACCACTTCCGTCCACGCCTCTTTCCCGCACTGCGCACTTGTCTCAGTCGCAGTCTTGGTAAGCCCACAAGCTCTAATCCCTAGTAGCCACAATGAGTAAAAAACAAACGTCGCTGGAGATCTTCTTTGAAAAGGGGGAAAGACCCAATGTAGAACCCCACCCCCCCCGGTCCGTGAAAAAAACTTGTCTTCCACAAAACCGGTCCCTGTAGCCAAAAAGGTTGGGGACCGCGTGTCTAGAACACCCTCCCCCATCAGCTGCAAATGCCGACGAGTCCTTAACCATGTTCAAGTCCAGAATCGAGAATTTCCTTCTCTCCTTAAAAATAAAATTTAATGGTGCATATATTAACATGCCTTATTGTTCCCCACATTACACATCCCACTATTTCGTAACACCATCTTGCGATGAGGTTTTCATTTAGATGTTAGGAAATTGCCCTGCTGTTCATCCTCATGCACGCCGAGTCACCTTGTAAGCGCCGCACACAAGGGCAAGCAGGGCATTCTCAGCCTTATTCTGAAGCGTCTCCGTGTGCTCCTGCAACAAGAGCGACGTGGCAGATTGCACCAAAATGTTACAAGGCGTAACGACGTATTTTCTGTCAGGAGAGAACGTGTGCGGCTGACAGTGTTAAGATTAAAATCTCTACGTTTAAAAACCCCATTCATTTCCATTGCGATATTTTAAACTGACATTTGTTTTCCAATGTCTTTGGGAGCCATCTGCCATTCAATTTCACGTATATTTAAAGAGCTCTCTACACACTTACATTGTTGTAAATTGAAGGTCATGCCATATAGATCTGATTTTTACACGTTGTATTGAAGCCCCCAGTCATAGTAGGCAGGCAGACAGACGAGGTAGGTGTATGGGTCGGTAGCTGGGTGGGTGGATAGGTATGTGTATAGGTTAGGTAGGCAGAATAAACAAGCAGGTTTCAAGTAAATCACGTAAAAGCCCCTTTTTGACAACTTGAAAAAGTACGATGCTTTTACTTTGTGATGATACATGCCGCCTGGGATGCATTTTAATTTACAAAGCTGACAAATGTGGCAGTGAGCACTGACCCCATTGAAGACGATCCAGGGCACGTATTTGTGGTCAGGGTGGAGGGCGTCTGTACGTTGGGCATTTTTGTGCATCAGTTTATTTCCCAGGGGGCCACTGGCACACTTCTCTACCAACTGCCAGTTCTGCTTGGGAGCCAGCATGGCTGTACACTGGCAAGGATACACAAGCACACATTTGTTATAAACACACGCTACAATGACCAGATATATATACACATACATATACAATGAAAGTCAACCGGTCTCCATACAGAAGAGTAATGATGTGTACTCTTTGTTTTTTTCGGTAAAGTCACGTAGGTAAAATAAAATTTGAAAAAATGAAAACTAAATTAAATCACGACGTTTCGAAAACAATACAAGCTTCCGTCTTCAGGTGGAACAGACACAGCAAAATTAGCTGTATCAGGTGAACAGCTCTGGGACACACGAGATTATATACAGGTTAAGGGGGGGGGAGGAGCCAGGAAGGGACGTGGGTGGGGAGGGGGTGGCTAAGTTAAGCCACCTTTTGTTATTCTGCAGGAGGTTCTGGGGGAGGCGGTGGTGTACTTGCACGTAAAACCACCTTTTGTTATGCTGCAGGGGGTTCGGGGGGAGGGTGATGGCGTGCTGCACGAGAGCGAGTACAATCCTGGTAGAAACGGAAATGGCTGTATAATTATAAGCCAGCTAAAGTTTGACTTGGTTGATGACATCTTTCCAAAAGTTGCTCAATTTAAAACCATCCTCTCGGTTGAAGTTGTCTATGTTTGTATATCTGGATGGCGTCATGGACAAATCTTTGGTAATAACCGGGAGGTTTTGCAGAGTACTTTGGTATCGGAGAAAACAATGTCATGAGAACCCGCTGTGTTGAAACAATGATCAGCCACAGCCGAAGAATTCGTTCTGCCGTGTTTCAAATCTGATTTGTGCTCGCGAATTCGGTCAGAAATATGTCATCAACCAAGATGAACGGATACTCTGACCGTACTATCCGTCAAGCTGTTTCTCCCACCATAGAGAAACCACCACCTGATACTCCAATCAAAACCATCACACTGCCATACATAGCAGGCATTACCAAAAAGATTTCCCAAATTCTAAACAAACAAGGATCCAGGTCCAGTTCAATACAGTACACAAAATACGTGATCTGATCCCATCCGTAAAGGATGTCATTCCTGACTTACAGTACCCTGGTGTGTACAAATGAGTTGTACCTGTGGTGACTGCTATATCGTGGAGACGAAACGACATATCTGACCGAATTCGTGAGCACAAATCAGATTTGAAATACGGCAGAACGAATTCTTCGGCCGTGGCTGATCATTGTTTCAACACAGCGGGTTCTCATGACATTGTTTTCTCCGATACCAAAGTACTAAGCAAACCTCCCGGTTATTACCAAAGATTTGTCCATGAAGCCATCCAGATGTACAAACAGACAACTTCAACCGAGAGGATGGTTTTAAATTGAGCAACTTTTGGAAAGATGTCATCAACCAAGTCAAACTTTAGCTGGCTTATATAATTATACAGCCATTTCCGTTTCTACCAGGATTGTACTCGCTCTCGTGCAACACGCCATCACCCTCCGCCCGAACCCCCTGCAGCATAACAAAAGGTGGTTTTACGTGCAAGTACACCACCGCCTCCCCCAGAACCCCCTGCAGCATAACAAAAGGCGGCTTAACTTAGCCCCCCCCCTCCCCACGTCCCTTCCTGGCTCCTCCCCCCCCTTAACCTGTATATTATCTCGTGTGTCCCAGAGCTGTTCACTTGATACAGCTAATTTAGCTGTGTCTGTTCCACCTGAAGACAGAAGCTTGTGTTGCCTCCGAAAAGTCGCGATTTAATTTAGTTGTTTTCATTTATTTTATTTTATTTTACCTACGTGACTTTACCGAAAAAAACAAAGAGTATGAACCCTTGCAGTCACAAAAGCTTCAAATCTAGAAGTAATGATGTGGTACACATTCTGAAGCTAAACCATTTTTTTTTATTAACCAGGTAAGGCCCACCGAGCAATATAGCTCTTTTTCAGAAGAGACCTGGCCACAAATGATAGCTCAACGAAGTGGCTTATTACGTGGATATTTAAAGCAGCCAAATACTATAAATGCACGTCGATTCTAAATGTGGAGGGAAAAACCAGAGAACCCGGAGAAAAATCCATGTAACCACGGGAAGAGCGTGCAAACTTCAAATATACTAGCATCAGTTGGTATCGAACCCAAAACCTTCTGCAGACCAGGCGAGGTAGTTACCATCTCATCACCACCATTACCGCCCTGAGGCGGTAATGGAAATGATATTCTCGCAGCGTGGGCCAGTCTATCAAAAGGGGCACAACCACTATTCATTTGTCGAAACGTGGTACTAATTCTATGGATTCAGGTGGAACAAGTGGCTAGGCCACCTCCCCACCCAGCTGGGATTTCAACCTTCACATCGAGTCTAGTTCTGCTACAGTAGCACCCTGCAGGAAATGAGATACAATGGCCGAGTAAAACATTTCGATTTAAAGCTTTCGTGACTGCAGTAATTCATATTCTTAGCTCTTTTTCGGTAAAGTCACGTTGAAGGGAAACAATAAAATATATAAAAACAATTAAAACATTCTCACGACGTTTCGACCATAACGCAATCAGTCATCATCAGGTGTGAAAAACCAACGGCAAGAAACATTTGAAAGAAGTGGTGGTTTGCATTTATTTATTTTAAAAAAATACGTTAGTGCCACGGGCAGCGATTTGGCAGTTTATTCAGAAGGACGGGTCCATCTATGTTCTGAAAAGAGGAGGGGGGAGACGAAAAATTAATGTATGCTGTCTGAAAGCCACCGTAAGCGTGAACAATCAATTAAGACCTGAAATGGTTTATCAAATCTTTCCAATGATTGCCAAGCCAGAATCCATCTTCTCGGTTGAAATTGTCTCTGTGCTTGTATATGTGGATAGCCTCATGAACGAATCTCTCATGGTAGCCAGATGGCTTACAAAAAACCTCTGTCTTGGAGAAGTCAATGTTATGCGAGCCTACTGAATTATAACAATGATCTGCCACGGCCGAGGTGTTGGTCCTACCGTGTTTAAGGTCTGCTTTGTGTTCACGAATGCGGTCCGAGACATGGCGTTTGGTTTCTCCAATGTAACTACTACCACAGAGGCAACTTAGTTTGTAGACACCAGCGTACTGTATGTCCGGAATCACATCTTTTACAGACGGAACCAGATCACGGATTTTATGTAATGTGATGAAACGGACCTGGATCTTATGTTTATTCAAGATTTTGGAGATCTTTTTTGTGATCCCCGCAATGTGGGGTAAAGTGATGGTTTTGAAAGGCTCCTCAAGAGGGTCCTTCTTCATGGTTTGAGTGATAGCTTTGCGGATTGTATAGTCGGAGTAACCATTAGCCTTAAGAGCTTGGTGTACGTGCTTGAGTTTACTGCCTATGTGTTCCTGGTCGGATATGCATTGGGCTCTATGGTACAGAGTCTTGATGAGAGAATTCTTCTGTGATGGATGGTGGTGGGAATCCGGTTTCAGATAAGCATCCGTATGGGTAGCTTTCCTGTAGACAGAGTGGCTCATTGAACCATCAGGTCTCTTTTTTATTAGGACATCCAAAAAAGGTAGCTTGCCATCTTTTTCGACTCTCATGGTAAATCTGATGGCTGAGTGTATGGAATTGATGTGGTCGAAGAATTGGTCTAGAGCAGGCCGGCCATGTGGCCAGATGACAAAAGTGTCATCCACGTACCTCTTCCATAAGGTTGGGCGCAGAGTGGCAGTCTGGATGGCGTCAGTCTCAAATTTCTCCATGAAAATGTTAGCTATAACCGGAGATGGAGGGGAGCCCAATGACACTTTTGTTCTAATTCAGTAGGCTCACGTGACATTGACTTCTCCAAGACAGAGGTTCTTTGTAAGACATCTGGCTACCATGAGAGATTCGTTCATGAGGCTATCCACATATACAAGCACAGAGACAATTTCAACCGAGAAGATGGATTCTGGCTTAGCAATCATTGTAAGGATTTGATAAACCATTTCAGGTCTTAATTGATTGTTCACGCTTACGGTGGCTTTCAGACAGCATACATTAATTTTTCGTCTCCCCCCTCCTCTTTTCAGAACATAGATGGACTCATCCTTCTGAATAAACTGCCAAATCGCTGCCCGTGGCGCTAACGTATTTTTTAAAATAAATAAATGCACCGTTTATAAATAAATAAATGCGAACCGCCACTTCTTTCAAATGTTTCTTGCCGTTGGGTTTTCACACCTGATGATGACCGTTTGTGTTATGGTCGAAACGTCGTGAGAATTTATTGTTTTTATATATTTTATTATTTTATTGTTTCCCTTCAACGTGACTTAACCGAAAGAGCTCAGAATATTGTGAATCTTATTTCAGGTCAAACAAGTTTCTTAAGCTTGATATGAATGTTTCTGGTTCCGTTGTCTAAGTAAATGATGAACAGCTGCACTACTGGAAGTCTTACATTCTTTAGTTCCCACTATCTATACTTTCATCTCTGTCTTGTGTAAGTTGGTTCATTTGTCAAGACGATGTTGCTGCAATTTCAGTGACACCATCTAGATGATGCCCTCAGATTACCTAGTTTCCTTTTGACATTTTCAAAAATTAGGTGTGCTTACCATTTCTCACTGCAATAACTGACTTGTCAGGAGTGGTCTATAGTTATACCTAAAATGTGATGACTTTTTTTCTATGATTTATCCAAATCCACACACAGAAATAGCAATAGCCAGGAAGCTTCACAAAGCCAATTTGGATGAAGATTCATTCCTGAGATATTTGGCCAATTTATTTTATAAGTGTTATACATGACAGGGTAAACCACAGCATCTCAAGAAAACCCACACATTTTTCAAAGATCTTCACAAGTGGATCATGAACACATTTGTAATGCATCTATTTCTTGGTCACCTACCAGCTCAGCAGGATGGAATTGTCAAAACACATGATAAAATCCGAGCGATCCACCAACCCCACTCCAAATCGATGGATTTTTTTGTGTGCACCACCACACCTCCAAATGGTGATTTAAATGACGGTGCAATTGACTAGAAGCTTACCTGCTCGGCAGCTGTAATGGGGTTAGCAGCAGACTCCATGCAATTGAAGATGGGGATATGATCATTGCTATCCGGCAAGAAGTAGATCAGACATGCCTGTGTGTGTAGGAGAGAGCAAGGTCAGCCACATCAAACACACCCGGAGACAATAGCCAAATTAGTACAAGTAATGTTGTTGGCCATCATCGACCCCATCCATACAAACGTAGCATCAATGAGATATCACCCCCAGTTGATACAAGAGAAAAACTCAAATCAGATCAAAATATAATGATGGCCACGCCTAAGGATGTTACCGTGACATTGCAATCACTTTTCTGCCAGGTCCTGCAACCGTTCCACATTTTATATCCAACCTCCAAGTCCCGTCTTACAGTCCAATTACAACAATCTGGCTTGAGGTCTTCCCCTCGTTCACAGAGCTCACGGTGCACCTCCGATGAGCAGAGATTTGGCTACATACGGTGCAAAAGTTCAACATAAAACATCCATAATATCCATAATAAAGTTTTTTTGGGGTTAGATCGTGTAAATATAATGTCGTTAAACCCACCACCACCCGACACAGCCAGTGAGTAGGGTTTGTCACAAACAAAACGTGCCAATTAGTTTCTACTTCACAACATTTACAATGTTTACCCAGGAAAGCCTGAGTAAGCATTGTAAAGAGGCATGACGGGTTTCTTTTTGTCATTCCTCTTGCTCTATATGCACCCTGTGCCGTTCCTATTCTGCTGCAATGTGAACTGATGCCAACTTTATTGAGGGCGATATTGGCACATAAAATAAAACGTACATTTTTTGTGTGGCACTGGCAAATGTCTGTGCATATTTCCACTGTGCATGTTACACAAAGGCTTGGATGTGCACACGGGACAAAGCCAGTCCACCACTGTGCAAGTACCCCCCCCCCCCCTCTGCCATGATGCCAAGTTGCCCAATCACGAATAGTTAAGGGAAAAAAGGCGTGGAACTTCAGCTGGTGTACAGATATCAAATCGAGTATCATCAAATTTTGCCGACAAATGAAGAGGGGTTTTTTACCGTCCTCAAATCGATTGTGTGGACAAAGCAAGTGTTTAAACCGACGTCAAAGTCAGGCAGGTGGGCGATATCTGCCTATACATTTGCAGCACTTACAAATTGGACTTAGCTGAATCTAACGTTAGATCGGCAGTGCTATGAGCATTAAAACTTATAACAGAAGACACTTATTTCCATAAATGATTCTACTATAATGCAATGTTAATTTTAATTAAAAAAAATTGTTTGTTGTGGACAATATAAAGTATTTAGAATTAAAATATTTCTGCAAATCTCATAACTATTTGACGATTTGAATTACTCTGTATTTTACGTTTTATTTTCATGTATTATTGTTTTGACACGTTAAGTCCATTTACCAAGGAAAAAGCACGACCTCGTTACAATCATGAATCAGTTTAAAATATGTGCGCGTGTGCAAATACATGAACCAGCTTTAAATCTATTTTTTTGGGCAATCTTAAAGTTGATCAAGGCATGTAAAGATGACCACTTAAGTTAATAATGTACTAAGACGAGGTCACATGAATGTACTCATCTGAAAAAATGGACTGCGCTCAGCTGTCAAATGTTGCAAAATCATCTTGTCACATGTGCACCCTCACGTGGGAGGTCATTTGAAAGATGAAAACAACAGCTTGTAAAAGCCATCGGCTAGGTTTAATGTTTCAACATTGACTGAAGCCTTCACTAATTAACATATACTGCATAGTCTAATGCTTACTCAAGTTTACATACGATATTAATTCCTGTCTTCGCGGTTTTGAAAACTACTGGATGCAATAAAAACCCAGGCAAATAAAAAAAAATCGGAGTGCCTGGACAAAATCCATTCATACAATACTCAACCACCACGCTATGAAACCTATCGGCTGCAGGGCCTCTACATGTACCTCATTGCCAGTGGGTGGATGTCTCATGAAAACTATGGCTCCGATTCCCTGCATTACTATCTACGTGGCTTTACCGAAAGACACATAGAATATGTTTTCCTGCAGTCACGAAAGCTTTAAGTCAAGATTTAATACTGTACATGTCAAATCACTGACGTATTCCATTAATAAGCCATATTTCCCAAAACTATAATTCCCTTTCAAATTTTCCCAAAATGTATTAGGATATTTTTTTATTGAGGTTATCTTACTTATTTCCTCATATCAAAACTCTGATTATGGACACCTAGATCTTAAATAGTTTTGCAACACGTCCTCACCTGCAGCATGTTCCCCTTGCATTCATTCGGGCCGTGCTGACAAGTGAAGTTCCACTGGTCTCCTGCCGACTGCTCCTATAAAAACACAGGGTCAGCCGAACATGACAGTGAAACAATGCAGTGCTCTGTGTAGCATCAGCAGGTAGGTCTAAAGTCAACTGTTGCCATACTATGGAACGATTTCATCAGCAACATTTATACGTTTGTGTCAAGGTTGGTGAGTGGGCCATTGGATGGCGATAGCAGCAGCAGCAGCCCGATGAATATCTCAAATGTTGCCAACGAATGGTTGAAGTAGGCAGTCGTGTACTTTGTGGTCCACGCTATCAGATTGGTAACCGCAAGTCACATTCTATCTTAATATTCTGGGATAAATTGTTTCTTGATTAATTATTCATTGATGTACATATTTTGTAGAGATTGACACACAACACGTGAATGTAGAATTTCTACGATTGACTCAGGCCTGTTAATGGAAACGTTCATTATTTATTATGTACTTCATGTCTTAATACATTTTACCAGTGTGCCAGAGGTTGAGTCTCTCAAAGAGTATAATCCCAACATAATGTGCTTAAAATACATCTGTAAATGACAATACGCTTATGCTGTGCAATAAGCGGGGCAGATCGTGCAGGAGTCTGTCAAGAGCTTGAGATCTGATATGGCCTTAAAATCTCTCCGTGGCCTTGCCCCATCTCATCTTGCCTCTCATCTCCTTCTATGCCCCTCTTATCCTCTTCCTTTCCAAGCGTCTGCTCTCTCTTTCTCTGCCCATCCTCCTCTCTGTGCCCAATCCCATTTTTGGCCCTTCTCCCTTAATTGCACCCCTCTACTGTGATAAACTTCCTCTGTACATTAAGCAGTCTCCATCCTTAACCTCATTCCATTCCTCTCTTAAAGCTTACCTCTTCTCTATTGCCCATTCTGTTCCTCTTCCCTCCCCTCCACTACTTCCAGTCTCTCCCCTACCCTTTTGTGATCCCTAAGTACCCTCTATCAAAGTTGATAATTCCCCAATCCTCACACACTCCTGTGATCTAAATCATTATTATGTCACCGTTTAATAGTATGTCAAGCGCCTTCAGGTAAAAGGTGCTCTATAAATCTAAAACATTTGCCACAGACCTAAAAAAAACAATCTTAGCCCTGATGTTACGGATGCATGTATGAACTTCGTTTGCACCGTACGTAAACAACCGTGCCAATCTGAGATGCGGGGTAAGGATAGCGGCAACAACACGTACAAATTGAATTAACAACACGTACACACTGAATTAACAACACGTACAAACTGAATTAACAACACGTACAAACTGAATTAACAACACGTACAAACTGAATTAACAACACGTACAAACTGAATCAATTTGTGGCCTTCTGCTGTCACGTGCGCCATGCTGGGACTGCCAGCCTGCCTCGGCACGGACAATCACTCATGAACGGCAGCACGCTCCGTACCCTGGTGTTGCCGTACGGCACCAATGTGACGTTCATGATGTCTCCCAGCAGCAGCCAAGTGCCGTAGAGCTGGCCCCTGAAGAAATCCCGGCAGTCTGGGCACAACGACTCCATGTAGACATCGAGGAGGACAGGAGCGGAGCCCGTGCACCTGGGCTGGGTCAGATATGGCAATGGCAGGGCATTAAATAAACTCCATGGCCAGGCTGCACGTTGCATTATGTTGAACTTCTTTCGCACAGCACGTAGCCAACCATGCTAAATCGGAGGTGCAGGGGAAGGACGACAAAACAGAAAAAAACTGTTCTAAAGAAATTAGTTTCTAATCTAGATTTTAAAAGTACATAGCTCCAGTGGTTTCCTAATATCGGAAGGAAAGGCGTTCCAGACAGCCGCAGGCGCATCTGAAAACACGCGATGCCGTGACCGTCTTTCGTGCATCTCAGGCGTGTAAAAAAATTAACTCATCCCCACCCCAAAAACAGTTTGATGAATTGATAAGATTTGGAGCCAGTATTAAATAACCAAAAATGGCGCTTTTTACCATCTTATCATTGTAATTCATGCTATTATCCACTCAAGCATTCAAATCTCAAGAGAAACCAAACAACGGACAAGGATATAATAATAGGGGTTTTCCCCTTTTTTTCTGGCAACAAAACTGAAACCTTTTTACAATGATTCATGTCTGCATTAACCACAATACCTGCAGTCAAATGCAAAAAAAACCCATACTCATTATTTTGATAGTGCATTGTCTTTGAGCTGTGTGACGCCTTTTGGCGTCATCTATTCGAGCACCAATTTGGTCGAGGCTCAAAAGAAAGCCGCCTCTGGTGTGGATAAATCAGTTTCAAGGACAATGCATATATTATCATAGTATGTTTTTTTTGTTTGCATTTTGACTGCAGGTATTGTGGTTAATGCAGACATGAATCCTAGTAAAAAGGTTTCAGTTTTGTTGCCAGAAAAAAAAAGAGTAAAAACCCTATTATTACATTTTGGTACTGGCAAAGGAGGTCTAATGATGTAAAAATGGACAGGATGTCACCATAATCAATAACTAGCGTTGTATGGACAGGATGTCACCATAATCAATAACTAGCGTTGTATGGACAGGATGTCACCATAATCAATAACTAGCGTTGTATGGACAGGATGTCACCATAATCAATAACTAGCGTTGTATGGACAGGGAAATCAAATACGAGGGGCAAAATATAAACGCAAACATGCATGAACACAAATCACCATGAAGAAATAATAACACATAGATTATACGTACTTGTATAAAAGCGTTAAGATAATAATATTAGATATTAAAGAACATAACGCAAAAGCGGGTAAACATATAAGCAGCTACGGGCGCACGCAAAAAGTTACGGAAATCACTGGCAAAAACACACAAACAGTACCTCTTAGCCAACAAGTTGGAATCGTTAATTAAACAGATAGCATCATAAGGTCAAGTCGGACAAACCGCGTGAGGAGCAGCGGCGTGTGTATCAGACACACAGATGCGTACAAGTCACACAATTGTTTGCGTCTCGTCCGGCCTGCACTACCAATTGTCAAGATTTTGTCTCGCTATTCACGCATTTAGCCGGCGGTGGTGGTGGTGATGGGAGCCCCCCCCCCCCTCTGGGGTTCTGTAGGCCGAAGCCTCGGCCTCGCCTGCGCTCGCTCCCGCCTCCAGATGCAGCTGCGACGGCAACTTCACGGAGCGAAACCGGGCTCGCGTAAAGCAACAATTCGCAATTACGAACCTCGCTCCATTACTCCCGGCGTCAATCTCGTAAGCGATAGATGAACGCAAGAAAACACCGTCAATATTACTTTAAAAAAACACACACATTCATAGTAACAGCGGTCGATATTTCACACCGGGCCACTAAAAGCAAGCTTCTCAAGCCGGCACCCGCAGCGCCCAAACCCGGCAATAACTTCCAGGCGAGACCGAGGCTTCTCAAGGCCGACAGCAGGCGGCACCTTCTTTCAACGTTCATCACCACAGCTGTTATCTTCTCCACAGGGTGAGGGAGTTTTAGTTTACCTCGCACGAGTCCTTGGAGGCTTGGCACATGCGCCTCGGAGCGGCGTGGCACGAGCTGAACTCGTTGCCCAGCTTGGAGCAGAAGGCGTGCTGGGCGAGCGCGACCAAGGCAGCCAGGGCGAGAGGGCCCATAGCTGCTGCTGTTGTTGTTGTGGTTGTTGTTGTTGAAGCAACTTTGTGTTGCCGGTGGAAACAACCTGCGGTGTCGACGCGACCTCTGCGCCGAATAAATTGGTGTTGTTAAAATAATTGTGTTAACGGTGTTAAGTCGGTGCAGGCGCGCGTGCGGTGCTGAATTAATTTACCGTCGACGTCAACTTTCGCGGACGAGTTTGAAGCAACTTTTTGGTTTGGTGGGTCGCATGCGTGTTTTGTCAAAGCGACGTTCCGTTGTTGAACTAACGTCGTGTTCGAAGTTATAGTGCTTTGTTGATTAAATTAAGCAACCTTTTTTGTTGAAAGCGACTTCGTGTTGTTGCCGAGACAAACGAGTTTCGTCGTCGGAGCAAGTACTTAACAACAACTTCTCATTGGTAAAGCAACTCCCAGATGAAGCAACTCTCTGCACGCGTATTGCTGAAACGCCTAGCTTGCTTGCTAGCTAGCTGCTGCTACTGTTGCTCGCCTAACGCCCACTTAACTTGCGAGGGATAAAATAATGCCCAGCGAGGCAAAGATAAACCAATTGTGTGCGACTGAATGCAATTAATTGATTAAATTCGACGCATCAGATGTTGAGGAAGCCCATTATTGGGTGGGTGCCAGTGCTGGAAACCCCCTCACACACACAAAGACAAAGATCCCCCGTATAGCTTCAACACACTCTTGGGGCAAGTGCTGTTAGCGAGCACCTATGAAGGCCAGGACGGCTCACGAGGGGTTTGAGTGGTCAGCACCACCCCCAGCCGCCTTTGTCTCCCCAGTGGCGATGTTTTTACGCACCGCACCAGGGACTCATTTGATGCTGAGTCGACCTAGGGGAGGCCCGGGACCGGTTCAGATAATCGTCACTGATGTTGGCCGTGAGCGATAATCTAATGCGGGTCGACAGGTTTGTAGCGCAGCGCGCTCACCGCTACACTACCGCTCCCCACACACACAGCCACTCACCCACCCACACACTCGCCCACTCACCCTCTCACTCACCTACCCACTCACACACTCACTTACCTACACACTCACCCAGCCACTCACTCACCCACCCACACACTCGCCCACTCACTCACCCATCCACTCACCCACTCACACACCCTCTCACTCACCTACTCACTCACACACCCACTTACCTACACACTCACTCACCCAGCCACTCACCCACCCACACACTCACCCACTCACTCACCCATCCACTCACCCACTCACCTCTCACTCACCTACCCACTCACACACCCAATTACCTACACACCCACTCACCCAGCCACTCACCCACCCACCCACTTACCTACACACTTACCCACTCACACACCCTCTCACTCACCTACCCACTCACACACCCACTTGCCTACACTCTCACCCACCCACACACTCACCCACTCACTCACCCATCCACTCACCCACTCACCCTCTCACCTACCCACTCACACACTCACTTACCGACACACCCACTCACCCAGCCACTCACTCACCCACCCACTGACTCACCCACTCACTCACCGACCTACACACTCACCCACTCATTCACCCAGCCACTCACCCACCCACTCACACACCCACTCACTCACCTATCCACTCACCTATCCACTCACCTATCCACTCACTCGTCCACCCACTCACCCACCCAGTCGATCCAAATATCTCTCATGTCCTGTTTAATAAGAGCAAACAAAACATGAACTAGGCTCAGCCGAGCAGATGTACATATAAAGATTAGTCGGTGAATACAGTGTTATATATATTAAAGTCACGCTTAAAAAGCAATGGAAAACAAAGTATAACGTATGGATTTTGTAAAAGTCAGATTTGTTGAAAATGGGTGTGGGATATACGTCGTGGCAAGAGGCCGTTGAATGGGAGGCGAGAATTCGGTGGGAATAATAAGAATCTTTATTTAGACTACAGCAGGAATCTGATGAGCTATGGAGCTTTTTTTCACTGATGTCCTGTAGGGACGAGTCAGAAAATTCCAACAACAATACAAACACCAATAAAAGTGCAAAGTATAGGAAAGGTAAGCAAGTCACGAAAATAAATACATATATAAAAACTATATAAGCGCAAATTGCTAAATTATATAAATTCCTGCCGATGTTTAACAAATGCAAGCTTGCACCTCCGATTAGCACAGTTGGTTATGTGAGGTGCGAAATAGGTTAATCATAGATATGTAGTGCTAATCCCTACGTGATCCGGGGGAAAATACTCAGGTTATAGTAAAGGTGATATCACGAGGGAAAGAGAAGGCGGGGCGAGAGAGAGAGGGAACGCCCAGGGAGAGAGAGGGGACATCACCGGATGAGGTGGGGCGATCGGCACGCTTCCTGGAGGGATTCGGAGTGGAGTGGTGGCAACGGTGGAATTGCACGATGCCTTGATGCGGTGATAGAAAGGACCCCGACCGAGACCCCAGCGAAGAGGGAAAATAATGCGCATCCACTCCCAGTGCCCCGGATGGCCATGATCTTCAGACGAGGTCGGGACGGTCCCACGACTCGTAAGAAGACAGCGAAAGGCGAGGAGCGACACGTCAGAGAGCCCTCGAGCCCCCGAGAGAAGGAGGCCCTGGTCAGACCGGGTTGATCAACTCAAAGAGACGGTAATACTACTCCTGCAACAGTTGTGGGAAGACAAGACAGCTGCTAGCCCAGCGACAGCGCCGTCGGCATCCACGGCGGCTTCTTCGGTTCGAGCGGGAAATGTCATGGCGGGGACGCCACAGGCTACAGCTATGGCCGAGATGTTTGCCGCCCATAATGGAGTGCTGGAGACATTGGCACCGGGGATGGAGGAGCCAGCGCCGCTGACGAGTGAGAGCACAGCACCACGGCCGGCGGGGTCCACCCTCGCCGGGCCAGGGAGCCCATCGGAGGTTTCGAAATCACCACCGATAAAACCAGAAATAATACATGGAGAAGGGCACCCTCCGGAGGGAGTAGGATTAACTTTGTTGGGGCTGATACTGATAGCCGCCATTGGAGCGGAATTGACGCGAAATACACCAGGCCCAGTGGTAATGTTCGCTCCGGGATTTAGCAGTGGAGCATTGGAGCCACGTCGGAAAGCACTAAGACAACGGTCCAAAGCGTTGGCAACAGTCGCAGCCCAGGTCGTGGGAATTAATTCACCTGGGGGATCGGACCAGCGACGAGAGAGCGCTGATCGACTACGTAGGTGAGGCCATGTAGAAAAGTTTGTGGCTAAAGGAGGAGACTGGGGAGCATTTGTTCACTGATACGAGGCGGCGTATACATATTTTGAGTGGATGGAGCCTGAGGCACTGAAGGCTCTCCCCACGGCCCTTAGTGACGACGCTCTGATTATATATTCCTCTATTCCGGGCAAGAAAAATAAAACCTTGCAAGCTGCTAATTGTGAGATGGCAGAGATTTTTGACCCTCCGTCCAGCGCGAAGAGACGATTTCAGAGCCGTCGGCGGGAAGAGGCGGAGTCAGCCTTGGCCTACAGGAGCGCTCTCATACCCTTAGCACAAATTGCTTTTTCTAGGGCCTAGATGCGTAAATCAGCGCTGGCACAGGCTTCCACAATAGTATTTCTGGTTACTGATGAGGACAAGCAGATCTCATTGTGGATCGCGAAGAACATAAGAGCCCATGAGGAGGTGATGAGGCCACAACATATAGTGGCGCAAATAGCGGAACCATCAAATTGTCAAGGACTGGAGAGGGTCCGAAATACGGAACCAAGAAGATGACACCGAAGAAGAGGGGGACGTCAGGCCACCCGGGGGGAAGATGTTGGCGGCTGTGAGGGGGACGTTTCGGGGCCCTACACAGAGGACCTGTCGCTGGACATCCCGGGGACTCTGATCATGCAGCCGGACCCGGAACCCAGTGACCTGCCACCGATGTGGCCATATGGGCCACATCGCCCCACAGGTGCCATACTGATGCTGCTCCACCGGGGCTGACTTCGCCCCAACAGCCGTTCTCCACCCCTACGTACAACCAGCAGCTGAGTCGCAGCACCCCGAACACCTCGGCACTTCCCATCAAAGAGCTCTCATACGCACCATCAGTCGATACACCCGCCACTTCCCGACGATCACAGCCACCATCGTATTTACGCAATTTTTCACCATAACGATAGCCAGCTTCGGGTACACATTGGCGCAAGTTGGCACGGAGGGTAGGAGCAGTCGCAGCTGGAACGTCGGTGGTGATAGGCTCGGTGGGCGGAATTGAGGTTCGAATGCTGGTCCATATGGGAGCGTCAGCGACTATCATATCACTGCACGTTTTTGATATGCTTCCCGACAGGGCCCAGCAGTTGTGACCAATACAATCATCATACGTAGCGGCAAATGGGGGAAGCATGGGTATTTTGGGACAGTTGGATATCTAAATCTGCGTGGGAGAACTGGTCATATCGGGACCCATACTCGTCTCCAGCACATTAACAGTTCCCTATTTGCTGGGGACAGAATATTTAAATCAACTCCCTATCAAAATTGTTATGGACCAGGGGTGGACCGAAATGCCGTCAGGGATAACGGCTATATTTTTTACGCCCGGACAACGGCACCCGAACGTCGACTAAGGTGCAGGCAGTTGTCAAGGAAATGCGTACGGTACCCCCAGCATCACAAATCTTAATCAGAATCAGAAAGGGTTTTATTCGACATGAAAGTTCACACCGACACGGAATTTACTTTGGCAGGATGGTGCATACATTCAACATATAGGAATCTAAAATCTTAAATAAGTTTTAAACAAGTCTTACTATAATAAGGGGTTAAAAGTCTAACTAACACCAAGGGGCTGAAGTATATAAAATTTAATAAATATCGAATATAAAATAGCTTTAAGATATAATTTAAAAATAAAAAATACAAATAGGTTAACATAGTTAATATCGGCAAGGTGTCATTATGTAGATAATGACACCTTTGATATCGCACTCCGCTCATGACTGCTTGACCGGACACACCTATATTAGTATCACCGGCAATGGCGATCATGGACCGACACACCCTGGCAGGTGCGGACACCATCCTGTGTCGCTACCAGAAACTGTTTATCCAAGTTTTAAACACGGCAAACACACCTGTCACTATACATGGGGGAACGGTTTTGGAGCATGTGCGGCCCATGCCAGCAGGCGATGGAGAAGTACAGGCAAGAATAATGGAGGAGGAAACTGATCCTGTATGCGAGGAGGCTACCCCCTGGCTAGTTGTGACAGCGCAGGATGCTAAGTTGTCCAAGCCACAGCGTCAGGCCCTTCGAACATTGTTACAGGATTGTGAGGATATATTTAGTAAGTATGATTTAGGGCGTACTAATTTAATGTCACACCACATAGAAACGGGAAATGCGCCGCCCATCTGCCAAAATTCATATTTGCATGAGGCCGGTCGAGAAAGCTCAGATACAAAACGCGATCGATGAGATGTTAAATAGCTGACATTATTTCACCATCCACAAGCACATGGCGGGGGGGGGGGGGGCTCAATCGTCCTGGTAAAGAAACCAGACGGTTCATTGTGGCTTTGCATCGATTTCCACGGTTCATTGTGGGTTTGCATCGATTTCCGTCGACTGAATAAGGTCACAATGGCGGATGCTTATCCGCTACTGCAGATTGACGATTCCTTGGACGCCTTAGCGG